AAGAATGTTCAACATCAATTTATTTGGATAGACATCGAAACGGAGAGTTTATAACCTATATTTACGATAGGGGTAGGAAAGACTGAGGACCAGGGATGGTTTTGGCGGTATTGATCTCCCAAGCCCGGGAACCCAAGCCACTTGGAACTTAAACGGCTGCCTGGAATACCCATACATTCGCTCTCGTCTCTCGCTCTCTTTCACACTCCTCCCAATACATCCATGTTTCTCCATTAAAGTTCCTTATACCCCTTACCGTGATCCCCTACGCTGAATCCAATAAGTCAGGGGATCCACGAAAAAGTTCAACTGGCGAACATAAATTTCTTTCCAATAAAAGTAAAAAAAAACTCGAACTGCTCAAAGAATTTAAACCGCATTTGTTATATTTACATACCTTCAAGCTCCTCAATCTTTTATTTCTCCACTAATGAGTCACGACGCATCAGTCTGTATATCAATATCTAACGATCCAGATACAACAATCCATAGCACTCAAAACAAGTATTTCTTGAGTAATAAATCTAATTTTCAAATCTACATTCATTTTTGCCTTCTATATTGAGTTTGATTTTTTCATCCATATAATCCATAGAAAGAACATATATCAAATTTTTAGTTTGTGTCTCAAATACTGTTCAGTTCTGACACTTGGCTTTGACGTAATCCAGAACGAGATAAAAAAGATTTTTTATCTCCGCGTCAATGGAATTACTATAGGTGAATAAACTTTGCCTTATTGAATTCATCACGTTCGTCCACCCTCAGACTCTTTTATGAAACCGAGTCTTTAAGTTTCCCAGCTTCCAAGACCAATGGCGTGGGTCCATGATCCTCAGTAAAATCCTCTCACTCTGGCAGTGTCTCCCCTTCAGGACAAGTGACTACATCGACACTGACAATCGCCGTACCCAGATACGTATGCCAGCATCCACCAACCGCAATCCCGTTACCGTACATTAACGAGCCTCGTTGCCATTTCCCAGACGACGTCATTCTCGAAACTTTAACACGCTTTAACCTACCCCCAGTGAACGAAGCCAGTTAACGTTTGCAATTCGAAATTCCCACGTTGCAAATTCCCATAACACGCAAAACCAAACCCTCCGTTATCACAGTCACGCACACGAGATTAAATCTTTAAAAAATAAGCATCACACGTATAATTTATCCGACCTCTCTTCTGAGTCTTGTATAAATAATAAAAAGTGATATTTAGTAAAAAAATAAAATAAAAGTATAAGAAAAGGAAAAAAATGTATAACGTAAAATATAATAATACGAAAGAGTATGACTGCCCGAACTCCCACAAGTTACATTATCCGTTATAGCCAACTGGCGTATTATAAATATCCGTCGCTGCAACTGTTTATTTGTAACGCGAAAGAGGCCAGCCACGTTTGAACGATGACGTCAGAAGCGTCGAAGGTGGGCTTCGTCCAGTTTTCATGTAGTTTAGGTGTTCATCGGTTACGAGGTACCAATGAATGGAGTGAACATAGTCACAGATATAAATAGCGCAACGTCAAATCACCAGCCACTCGAGTATGTTTTTATAAAGATTTCGAGTATGCTCCAACTTCAATACTTCTAGACTTTGGCTTCTCGTAGACTTCGGCTACGTACATACATTTAATAATTCTAGAACCTATAGAGGCGACTGTCCACTCTAATTTGTAACCGTGTCTACAATAGTCATTGACTGTACTATAGAAGCTCTCGATCTATTTTCGATGTTTCCTATACCTTTTGGTCGTTCTCATGAGCGCCGCTGACGTCGCTGGTAACTTTGCAAACTCCCCCCACCGGCCGCTTCGATAACTAAATAAAGACACAGATGCCGACGCGTCCCGTATTCAACAAGGCAAAGATCGACAATACGAATGCCATTATCCTCGTGAAGTGTCTACATCGAATCGTAGTAATGGCAGTACCTATGTAAAGATGTTATAAAACGATAGGCCGTAACCAGCGTCATCCGACACGCCAGGCACAGTGGCGTAGACATAGGAAAATAAGGCAGAGACGACAGGAGCAGCAAGCGCGACGCTTTCGTTTGACGTCGCGACGATAAAAGAATGCACCGATCTTCGAAGCGAATAAATAACAGGAGAGCGTCGTTCTACCGTCCGTGGCAAAAGGCCCTCTTAGCGTACTTGATAAATACATTTATCGCCTCGGTGCCTCGTCCATCGGCTGAGTGAATCCAGTGACGTCATTGGCGTTCCTCTAACGTCACGTAGTGATAAAACAAAACGCCCACGGACGGCATTAATATTGACCCATCCGAGTAACGTGGACTACGTTATCCATCCTGTGTCTTACGGACAACGACTTCCCTTCCAATTTGCACCCCGTTTAACGTCCTATGTATTTTTCTTACACGGCCGTCCATGGCTAACCTGCATCACGTTTCTGGCTTCTTTACGGGGAATTTCGCTAGAGCCTTGTGAATAATGCTTGAGGAATTTCTGGTGGCTGTGAACGATACCCACCGGTCCTCGAAATTGATCCTCGTATCTTAGATACCTATGATTTATGAAGTAATTAAAATACGATATTCGAATAAAATAATTAACTTGTCCGATTAGAGATATTTTATTATATTTAAATTTTCTGGCGATCAGTGATATTTGATAGGGGAAATAAAATAAAGAGATTCCTGAAAACGCGTCAATTAATCAATTTAAATAGATCGTCGATAATTATCTTTATAATTTGAGATACTAGATTTGAGATAATAGATAATTTGAGATAGATTTGAGTTTCACTCGTGTTCCAATAAACAGGAAACCTTACAGCTTGCTTCACTTTTAATAGTCAACCAAGACCTTGCACCAGTATGGATGCACAAGTTATATGTGTATGTTACATCTCGACTTCCGAATGTCATACATATGTAACGAGGAGTTATACACCGTTACGCTGCAGCTTTCAATTGAGATAAATTCAATATCCCGCAGTGTCTAATCGAATAAAAATTATCCTAGTAGTTGGTGCAGTTGAGTGCATCAGATTTCCGAGATATCTCGATAATATTCAGATACTCGATTAGAAACGTTGATTAGGCCGAGGAAATCACGACTAATCCTTATCCCACAAGACTAATCTTTAGCCCACCGCTAAATACGAATAACCGCGAGCAAGCCCACCGTCGAAGTACCAACCTAAATACCATTAAGGCGGTTCAAATTATAACCCACGTTACCATGTGAATGGGAATGCAATCAAATTACAATCAATCGACATAGTAACAGCTTTCGGTATCCAGCATACCGAAGCACGTCTTACGCCTGTGTAATTTAAGAATAAACTGAAAAAAAGTACATACCAAAAAAGTTCCTTGTTTTCTATTTCTAAAAAAAAAAAAAAAAAGAAATATATTTTCAGTCCAGATATATCACATACGTCAACGATATATGTATATCTGATACGTATTACACATGCAGACAAGCTTAACGCGAAACGTCCGAACTTGGCACAATGTCCTCGTAGCCCACGTACCGGTGCCTATAGAATCGAATTACGAATGGCCCATAATGCAGCATCGATCCGACGTCGGCGGTTTGAAATGCGTCATCAGCGTTACATAATTACCTGCACGTATCGTTATGTAGTTACGTAAGGGTATCAGGGGTACAGGAACGAAGGTGTCGTTCGACAATGTTCCCAGCGATCGAGAGGCCAGAAATGACTTAGCGTCTTCGACCATTAGCGTTACAGAGGTACCTATGTCTATATATATATATACATAAGTGTATGTAATTTTATATCCATTAAAATTGACGCTGGCAATCGTATCTGGTATGGCTACGTTATACTAATTGAGTGTGTCTGGATTTAAGCGGAATTTTCATGGACTTTGATATTGCATACTACATCGTCTTGAAATGCGACTGAACTCGAGCACCGAACTAGCCAAGGCTCGGAGCTGGGTTGATGGTTGGCAAGTTGAGCAGCTAAGCCCAAGAGACTAGTATGCGCAGTAATTATTGGCCTTCGCGGCCTCGCCGGAGGAAGTAGCTTAATTGAAGAATTAGCTTATGTAGGAGGTACTGTATACTTGTACTCGATGCGGGGATCAAGACGTAACTTGGAATGTGAACTAGGCTTTAGACTCCGAGTACTTGGCTAGTTTATAATTGCTTTGAGATGCGACACAATTTCGAGTGTAATTTAATTTTTTTCTCTTTAACGCAATCCTGTGTCTGAGAAAATAATGCACTTACCTTGAACGGGAGCGAAGGCTCGGTCGTAAGAAATAATTGGAATATTAAAAGGCAATCAGACGTTGAATTCTTGTTGGTGGACCGAAGACAAATTTTAATGACAAAATAATAATTAGTTTGTGTAGTGGGTATAGGGATTTTGTTGGCTTTTCATTGAAATTTTCGTTTAAAAGGGAATAAGGGTCGTGGATACGTATAAATACACTGATAAAAAAGATAAAGTCCTAAATATCAATATAGTTAGTGTAATTAGTTTTGCATCTTAACTTAATCGTTAATGTGCTTATAGTGTAGCTGAAGACTAATTTTTTTAATGTGACTGAAATAAGTAAAATGAACTATAGGTAATACGATAATTCTGTAGAATAAGAATGGATGGTAAGCCTATCTTCGTATAGGAATAAAAATTGGTATGTTGATTAGTGCGATTATAATGGAGTCATAATTAGTACGGGAAAGATAACGTGATTGGAAATACTATGTTCGAATTGTAATTTTCAAAAATGAAATTATTTTTTTATATACGAATTTTGAATTTATAATTATTAACCAAATATATGAAAATATTAATCGATTCATCAGTCATATCAAACTAGTGAGTACTAGCGTACTTGCTTCTTAGCACGATAGTTTGGTTGAATTAGGTATACCATACGGTTATCGTATATTTAATTTTGTGAATGGATAACAGTAATTAAAATTATAGATAATTTTGGTAATTCATCTTTTACCTGCGCGTATGAGGTCATAATGAAATTTAACGAGATGGTGTAACTATTTAATAATTTATTTAGAATATGCATTGTATAATCAGTTTTAAGTACTACGATTACGTAAATAATCAAATGTTTAAATACAAATAGCCTAAAACACATTGTCATATGATTAAGATTATATTCACAGACAAACTTAGTCACAGCTTAATTCATGACTAAATATTTCTAGACGACTGATCCACTCTTTCTTAAATCATACGATTCTCTTTGTTTTTCTCCTTTGTTCATCTTCTCCCTTACATCAGTTTAACATCAAACGAGCCGCACTGCTCGAGTATTGATGGTTCGTACGAATCTCGGCTTCACCGATCCCGATCCACCCTATTTATCTTCTAGCAACAAGTGATGTGAGACTTAATGGACAAACACAACGAGATCAACGTGATCGATCTATCCGCGTAATTTTCCATCGGAGGAGAAACGCTTTGCTCCATTTTTGAATTCAATTCGAAAAATATGCAGCATCCGCGAATATCGCGAATCCCTGTTACGAAATAATTCGCGATAACGTGTCACGTGAATCTTGCACAAGAAAGAAACACAAGGAAGCTCTCTGGCGAGTCTCTGACGTCTTGATAATTCCAAAGAGGGAAAAGAGACACGATAGGAAAACAATGACTTGAAAAAGGTCAACGGTCACCGTGTTACCAACCACTGAAATATTAATGATAATTACCATTCCGAACGACGAACTAAAAGCAAATAACCTAGAACCATATTGATTAAATGCTAACAATAGTACAAATAATTTTCGTCGATTCGTTCTGATCTGACGAATTTCCCGGTTAGTCGTATTTACGAGCGACAGAATTAGTCAGATACGATCATTGTAAATGGCTAAACTATTTTTTCATAGAAACGAAATCTCCGGGTGCTCGATATATCATACGAGTCGTGCTCGATTATGAATTTGTAAATAACGACTAATTAAAAAAATTTGGAATTCGAACTCAAATATGTAGAATTGATTTTTCAGAGTCTCGTACGCATTTTCGATATTGATTAACAAGCCGGAAATTCAATATCGCATAATCATTTACGAAATTTACTTTAGTAATTTAATTTAATAAAGTAATTACTTATTTAATTTCTATTTTATAATTTCCTTGAGATTCTTTATCTCACTGTGCACAGGTCTCGAACGGTTTATATTATTTCTATAAGGATCGTCAGATCAAGATTACGATTACGATTACGATAATTCAATCAAACTTTATAATATTTTTCATTTCCGATTTATTACGCTATCGTGACACCACTTAATTAGTTGAATGACAATGTACAATTATCTGATATGGAAACATCTACATATAATTTGTGAATTGGTTAAATCTCATTTGACCATATTATTTCTTTTGGATTAAGTTTAATCCTCCTTTTTTTTTTTTTACACGTAATTACTTACATATTATAATTACTCGGTGACCTTGAACTTCTTTTTTAATTTAATCAAAAGTTTGTCTCTCTTTGATGTATTCTCGAAATTGAAACCTGCACAAAATACAGTTTAATCGACAGATCGAAGCTTGATTAGATCTAGGAGTAGATATTGACGTTTCCTTCCTACCATTGAAAGATAGATAACGTGACCAGTATCGTACATATAACGCAACGGGATTCTTATCAATCGCGAAAACCCAACGTAAATGTAATATCCGAATGAAGATTGTAAGTGCGACACGTATTTTCGTAATTAACGGGAAAAAAAGAAAAAACTGAAAACCGGGGTCGAGATAACCTTCTTCGTCTTATTTTTGGATTTACAGGAAAGGAGGGTTTTTCTTTTATAGATAACGATGCGTGATTGAACGGTTCCACCAACATTCATTATTTAACAGCCATTTAAATTATTTTCTGTCCGTGATAATTTTACTATCAACGAATTCATTACGCGCATAGAAGTTACTTAGAAAAATATTTTAACTGACGCCTTACTTAATAATATACGTTGGTGAAACTGGCATTAATTTTTATGTAGATATGAATTTTTATCTACTATATATAGCAAGCACATTGTTCACTTCTTTTTCGCATGCTGTTATTGTTTTTCTTCTTGTTGTTTCTTGCCTAATAAATCACTATCTAAATCGAATATAACCAGCAACCGGCACTCCCACTTTTATCTCGCTATCGTTCGATATCACATGTCAAAATAATCAATTTTTTTTTTTTTTTTTTTTTTTTTTTTTTTTTTTTTTCCGTGAACGCACTCAAATTTCACGAGTAACGAACACCGCGATTTGGAGTAGCAAAAAATATTTTTCTCGTCACAAGACACATTCGAAAAAGCCAGCCCCGTTAATTGCATTGCTACGAATAGCAGACAGGAAAGCTTGTCGTTATCTAATATTTTGTTTATTTCAAAAAATTTCGTAACTTCAAAAAAAACCTCGTATCCCCCATTCGATCCCTTAATGAAAATCGAAGTGCCGTCTGCAATAATTCACCAACACTACACTCACACCAAAGACACTGAATTATAATGTTCCAGGATTTTTTTTTTTTTTTTTTTTCAATGCTTAACCTCACTAAAAATTCAAAACCCTTTTTCTCTCTATTTTCACATGATCTAAACGTACTCGTAATACGCTAAACACAAACGTCCACTTCCAGGCTATACGCTTCCAGTTTTTATATAATACAAAAAATCCAAACATGAAAAATTGAACTACCATGTTCCGCGTAATTATAGCTTATGATTAATACACCGTAAGCATATATGTAATATGTATGTATTGCTGCATCAATGGTCCATGTCTCTTTATATAGATTTCTTTTTTAATGTCATAGTGAAAAACTGTAGACATAGGAAGTGTATCGCCCGACAATGTTCGAAAGCAAACTTGTCCATACTCTTTCTCTATGGAATAGAGAATAATTCCTCGTACAGCTATAAACTTTACAGCCATTTATTACTTACTGGAATTAATTTTACATTTTTTTTCTCTTCTCTTAATTCGATTATTTACCTTTCACTCTGACGCTTTCTCTCTCTCTCTCTCTCTCTCTCTCTCTCTCTCTCTCTCTCTCTCTCTCTCTCTCTCTCGCATTCGTACCCTCTCCCATTTTTACCCACTCTCGTCATCCTTACTATAGCTCGTATCTCTATGTACTTATTCTCATTGTCTACATCGTTTCTCTGATATATATATATATTTTTTTTTCCGTCATGCAATTTCGACCTATTTCCAAAATCCACAAATCCAGACAATCACGTGCAGTCTTCAACGTCCGCTCCAACGGCAAAAAAATATTCCTCTGACATAAGTTACTTAATCTTTTTTTTTTCGTCTTTCTCTTTCAATCAACTTTTTTTCCCCGCCAATAATCAATTTACCCCATGAACGCCGAAGACTAGACATAGAAATAAGTATAAGTACTATATATACGTTACGAGGTTACCTATATTTCGAGAGAGCATTCGAACGAGAAATTCCTCGTGTGTACCAATCGTCATTTATCTTTTGCACTGCCTTGTACTAAGCTAAATTGCACGAACTCGCTATACATACGCCATACGTATATTTAATACGCACGTACGTAAGTTATGTATATAGGATTTGCAAGGTTTCGCGGGAGCGTCCGCCCGTCGCTGCGACAAGAATTAAATTGTCAGCGACATTTCGGATTTTATCTCCGAGTGACATTTTTTTTCTTCTCCTTTTTCATTTCTCTTTTTTTTTTCTTTTCTTACGCGAAACAAAGAGGGATGAACACTTTTTCTATAAAATGCACACGCAAGGTATTTCTCTGTTATATACAGTATTTATTGCGTCATCGTACTCCGCACTCGGAATTGACGTCACGAGTAGATTACTTTTGTTCCACGTAATTGCAAGAGGATTTGATTGATTAACGTATGGATATTAAGAGCCCGAGTGACACATACATACGTGTGACGAACGATCGGATTTCACTCCGAAGAATAACGAAGGATTCCGAGTGCCGAGTTTTTGACGTTATTTGATTATATCACATGCTAGAATATTTTAGAGAATTGATTGGGTTTTTTTTTAAGGGTGATTTATTAGGACACAGGGATGCCCCGAGGGACACTTTATGCTGTTGGCTTAATGTATCTTCGATTTCATTGATTTACACCGAATGCAATTCTGTACTCGACAATACTAAAGTGATGAATTCATAGATACGTCAGAATTGGCGGGCGTGAATCTTTTCAAAAATATTATCTTTACTCTCAAGCGTCTTTAAATGATAATTCAATGATCTATCGGCTACATATTCCGCCAGAGTCAACAATCCGTTTTACGCGAGCGTCATAATTTCTTCCGAGATTTGTCCCGGTCGTCGTGACGTCACTTAACGACAAATAATTAAGCGAACGATACGAGTTATTCTATTTCGAGCGACAAGCGATTTGCAAATGTCAGAAGAGTCGGCGAGACATTCGCAATTTTCTTTTAAAACTCGCAAAAATCTTTCCAACGTATATATCAATTTAATCATGATCAGCTGGGACAACTTGCTTGCGACACGTTGTAAAAGTCCTCGAGACTCTAACGATAAATGTGAGATCTCGTATTGTCAAACTGTCGCGAGACTTTTCGACAATCAGATCCTCCGACTGTCGCAATCGCACCCAAGTGTCGCTCTGATTCGCCATGATTATTTTTGGTCAACGCCATTATAAAGCCAGCATGGACGGTTGGTAGGAATTATATGCGATCGATCGTGGTCTCCTATATACGTCTCTACATATATGTCCCTATACGCGTTACACGTATGTACTTATAATATATGATTGCATGATATTCGCTTGTTATTCGGCTCAAGCTCGACGAATCAATGTCACGTATTAATACGAAAGGTTGAGAATTTAATAAACGTATTACGATTCAAAGGGAGCCTGGAATGTTTACCGAAGTATCCATAGTTACTTTCTATCTTAATCTTTCTTGCGCACCCTTCGCCAAATTTCCCTATACTTCGTACTTTATTATTACACCGTCTGGTAATATTGCATATTACCAAGTACAACGCTCGTCTCCCAAGGCAATTATTACGCGCGTCGAAATTCTGTAGATACGACCGTACATAAAAAAAAACCACACGTGAATAATAATATAGACAAAATTAAGTTTTCCAAAAAAAGAATGAAGGACAATGACTTTGAATTTTTTTCTTTTTTCATTTACCTTAGCAGCAGCTCTCGAGGTGAAGACTCTGTAAAGGACTGTAAGAACCAAGCCTATAAAAGTCAACCTTAAGAACCGGCTCTTCCTGTACACGAATTACGTCACGATATAACCTGCAAACAGTCTCGAACCGACATCGTACTTCAAAACCGCCATAAAATTGTATCCAACACACGTTAACTCGAGCCTTAATAACCGCTGGATTGTGCCGTTAAAGTAATAAGGAAATGGATGGAGAAGGTATCGATTAAAAAATATTTGACCCAGAGTAAGTATCGCGAAAAATTTTGACGTTTCGCAACCGCATGTCCGTCATTACTGTAGTCGATAATTATAACGGATGAACAATTTCAAATGAAACTTCACCCAATCGTTCCAAGGTATGTAGTACCTCTAAGACGTCATACTTTCCAGTTCCGTTTCCTTGTACTCGGGCAGACGGGAAATTACGTAACGCGCTCCACTTGAAACTGGTATCACTCGTGCCTTAACGTTTCCGTTTATATATACGCGGCAAGCAAGTGTCTCGCCATTCATCAATGACGGCTTTAATCTCTCGGCATTAAATGATCACCAGTGTATTACGGTAGCCGACGTTTCTGAATGAAGCCGCGCCTTCTTCATTTCTATAAGGGGGATATGCCTCCTCGCGTATCTAGAAACACCTTTTGTCCAGGGATCTAACCTTTCTCCGTAAAAGTGACATTTGGCATTATACGATTTCACGAGCGAGCGAGCGCCGTTATTATTCTTCCTATATCCGCGTATACCAAATTTTCGTCTCTGTAGATCTACGAAGGACGTCCATGGAAGGAGTCCACCGACTGGGACGATCGGATAATAAAATATGGACTTTGCGAACGCGACGAAAATCTATACCTAGTCTACGTACATTAGCAGCCGGACGTGCATCGGATCTAGATAGACGAATATTTTTTTGGCATTGGTATAAATCCACACGGATAACTTTAAGAGACGTTTTCATTGATTACGGCCATTCGGTCCGATCTGTATCAAGGCTGACACTGATGAAGCGTAAATTTCAACCGACGCCAATGTCGAGTGTCTTTATGATATCGCTTGGACAGATAAAGCCTGACATTTGCTTACAAGGAAGAGTAGACGTCGACGTATATAACGGTTGATAAGGTTGATTAGATAAGAATGTCATACGTCACGAGCATGTCACCAGGGATGAATTTATATGTGAATCCATGGATGATTTTTTTTTCAGGAATATAAATAAACATGAATATAGACCGCGTGATATGATTATTTTGCTTGACGTCTCACTCGTGATAAAGACCTTGGAGAAAATTTGTACGACGTAATATACGTTTGTGGGTGGTAATTAAAAAAAAAAAAAACTGGGACTAATTAGCAAGCGGAGTCAAGAGTCCGATTTATCGTTAATGACTAATGACAGTAGCAAATTTTCTTTGACTTTACGATACACGATTACGAATCGTTCAGTCAGATCGAATCGATGACAATCGTAAAGACAGTTAAAAAATAAAGTGCCAGGGACTTCCCTATCGTGAGATTAGATTACAATGTAATTAACCGAGTTTATCGTAAAAGTGCAAACAAACCTTTATTGATGGTCAAAAATCAAAAGTAGCTCTTACGTATTGTATGGCTTTGTCTCTGTCAGGTCCTTTTGCTCTCCTTTTCCATAGCCTGTAAATATTATCAACAGCTCGGTAACGTTGCCGGACGCCAAACTTCGCCGAGCGTAAACGACAGGATGAACAAAATTTCGTTTAGATACCAAAACCTCCCACCGTACTGACTGGAACGCTTTGATCGTAGGTACTGCTGAATGAGGAAAAATAAAAAAAAAATGTAAGAGGAAATTTTTCAAAATTTTATCAAATACGTGGATAACGTAGAGTGTATCGTAAAATTTGAGTGGCTCCTCTTCAATTATAGATTACTATTTATCTAGGCAATCGATACTACGGTCTTTAATCTGGAATTGATTCGATATCAAAGTCACGAATGCTATTGATATTTTAATCATCATGAAATTTTTAATTACCGATTAAATAAAAAGGCTGATATTTGACGAGAGAAAATTATTTTAAGAGTGCCATTTAAATATTATTTTGATACCTTGACATTTAGTTTTTTCTACGACCATCTTCTCTCGCTATTGGTATATGGATGATTCGACGGCTATTTAGATGCAGTAAACGAGCCTTCGAGATAGCGCTGTCATCACATTGTTGCTCGACCTCGCGAGATGAACACACGAACGACCATGACCAAGAGCAATCATCATAAATTATCGGAAATTATAGGGAAAGGAAAAGAATCATGTCGGCAGGGTTGAAATTTAAAGAATGGTGGAAAGAGTGCGAAGCTGATAAGGTCCAGCAAGAGTGATAGCGTGAACCTGGATAAGGACGAGAGTACATAATGAATGGAAGAGATATGAAATAATAAAGCACGTTAATCGGGAATAGTGTTTTCATGGATAAAGTAAACGACAAACGGAACGATGTATAAATAATACCATTTTTACAATAGGATTTATTTAAATTAATATTTACAAAAAAAAATTGAGATTGGTAAACCCATAAATCATAACTCATACTGGGTCAAAATAATATTCATTTGATAATCAACTATAAACGCAAGTGATGAGCTAAAATTTACATAACGTAATCGCAAGACAAAAATCTCTCTTTACCATAACCTCCAACGCGATACAGACAGCTCCGCTTAACGCTCGCCAAGTCGCAGGACTGAATGTTAATCGCGATAAAAAATTTAGCTCTCCGCCATAGCCAAGTTACAAGATTCTCTTAGATCGCTGATAAAAGGAAAAAAAATTCCATGCGATTCCCCCGAAACAATCTTTACGACCGTAAAAGTTGTCGGCGAGCCACGATTATCGCCATTAATAAAACTCATACATATTTACATCTCGTCATGCTCGTATATACTGTTACACGCAAGTAATGTGGTCGTATCGGATTTTTATTGAACACCCTATCGATTTTACGACTGTAAGCTTACACGATCGCGCAGGATCGCTTGTTAAACTTGCTCGACTCTTTTGACATGCGTAAACAGTACGCGTAATACTCATTAATACGTAAACGCTATAGCGTACAAGAGTTGTAGGAACTAAAAGTACAACAAATTACTATATATGCGATTGACAAAGAATCTGAGACAATTAAATGATCGTTGATCAAATATGTAATGTTATCATCTACGATAAGGTAAATTAAAGACGAGCATAAATTTGTCTTTCGAAGGGTTGAACGAAAATTGGCTATGAAATTAATTATAAAAGTAACCATACACGGATATATCAGTACCTACGCGGCATCCGAGCTAGTAACGTGGAAATTCGAATGAAAATTCGGATCGTTAAGTACGAATAAAACTCCCAGGATAATAAATCTTCCCGCGCTCACTGCCCTAATAAATAATAGCGAGTAATGGTATTAATAGATACAAAAATAGTCGCAACTTCGACAATCTGACTTTATCCATACTGTTAATGAAGTATACTGACGTTGATGCACCCTTAAAACTTAATGTACAAGTAAACACGTGCATATATACCAATACTCGCTATAACGAACGGCGATACGATATAATAATAGCATCGCGAGACCACTTTCTAATGGCAACTGAAAAATATGAATAGGACAAGAGCACGGCGAACCAGATGCAACGACGTGACTTTTGTGAGACATCGATAAAAAAAAGATACAGACAAATTTTATACGCACTTTGACATAACGCTGCTCGAATGAATCTCTAGTCGTATAACTATCACGTCCACTGTTTTTATTTGTAATGAAAGCATTAACAAAAATAAATGTCGACATAGATATATTAGACCTCACCAAGAAATTGGCTGGCTCTTCGTGGTTCGCGACGGTGCTGCCACTGCGGCACTGAGTCCAGTTACATTACAACTTTCTAGATGGCAATGGCGGCGGGTCTCGCAATGCGTCAATTAATGTCCGGAGTGTTCGACAGATGGCATTTAGAATTACGTAGGTACATATGAAATATTTATAACGAGCGTGATACTATTTTTAGACGACGAGATTAACGCGGAGACAAAATCATACGATAATCTTTGGCTTATCACGATACACGCAGATGCATACTGTCCTGACCCTGGTCAACCATTTGACTCCCTAGGATTTGCATGAAAAAAAAATCAAAAGCAAAATGAGAAAACGAGATGCGTGAAAACACACGTTTTATACTACGACATAACTGTATCGGTGCTTTAAGAATTAGCCAGTGTTCAAAGGGGTGAGTCTCTACGAATAGATGTTACTAAAGAATGACGAGTATAAAACAGCCGCGAAGCTACGTCGAGTCCGTTCAGTTTGAATCGCACTCACCGTGACGGGGCTTAAAAGGATTTTCGATGATTAAACTAAATAAAAATATGGCTGCCGCGAATAAAATGACCAGCTAGGTATAACTGAGCGACACGTTTTTACCACGGCGACAATCCCGAGCGATCGATATCGCAACGCGGCGACTCACACCCTGACCACTGGAAACGAAAAAGTTGTTTGTACTTCGAGAAAGCTGCCAATGATGTAATAAACGACCATTGACAAAAAACGTGAGAGTACATTTTGATTATTAAAAACGGGAGTGAAATAAAACTGAAAGGTACTTAACAAAAATTTAATTTGTTCATTTAAAACACGCGACGACCTGTCAGCCAAGACTGCGGATACTCGAATGCTGAATTAAACATCAAAATCGCCAGGACGTACAACGACATGAACGTTTCCATCTCTGCGGTAAAAGTAAAAAGTTATCTCGCCAGGGCATCGTGTCTTTGACGGACTAAATGAATTGTCAATTAATTCCCAGTCACGCGTCCCACGTAATCGGGTTATTTATAATAATAAAGGCGTCGTTCGTTCCGACGGCGTTACCTTGTACTAACGATATTCCCATCCTATTCTCTTTTTGCAGCCAATTAAAATCGTAAACGCCGGTTGCGTCATTTGACATTAATGACATCAGATATAATTTCGTACCCCGTAACTGCGTCTATACGTTCGCACGTAATACTAATTTTTTCCTTCTTTCGCCACATAAAACTAAAAAACGTATCACTCGGGTTGTCAATGTTCCCTTGCAGATCTGTATATTTCCATCCCACAATGCACCGCGCGTACAAATCTAATTCCCTCCAGATCTAAATATCGTATATCCGTATACCAGAATAGCCAAAGGTGTCCCATAGGATTAACCAGGAAATGTTTACGGTTATCTCACTCAATTTCCTGATGGCCTTGTTTAATCCCAATAATAATAATAATTGGTTATCAGAAATCGGACAGAATAAGGCACGCTTCTCGGCGTTGGATTCTCAACCAATATAATTTCATTTTTCATTGAATTAAAAAAATGTTTTCCCTCACTTCCTCCTCCATCCTCTAGCTCACTCTTGGTTCTACATCAACCCATCGGTACGAAAGGATACGTAAGTGCGAAATGTATGCGAAAAAAAAATATACACACTTTTGCAATTACAGCCGAGCTAATATATGCCTCGAGGATTCAGAAGGTTGAATGTAATTAATTAAAAAAAAATCAATGTCACATATGCGTCCACGTATGCTTCTAACACATGTGTTCACGTCGAAGTAAGACGAGTCGAGAATACGTGCCCCTCAATTAGGATGAGTCTCGGTCTCACTATCTGGTAAGATCGTTTACCCCTGGTGCATTGGTCACACGAGATACGAGAACAGAAATGATATGACGACGACAATGAAGAATGTTACAAAGACTCTAACGTTGTCGACGCGCCTTTACTAACACGCTCAACGTAGATTAATGGCGCACCAAAGAAATGAGGTAGCCCGTTGCTCGTCATCCGTAAGCTCAGAAACTTTGGTCATAATCGTTCGTCCGAAAGACTTGTGTACCCTATGCGAATACAATTTTTTTCTCTTATAGGGATCCAGCAGACACGATCGTTACACTGGTTGATTCATTATTTTTGAAACGACTGTTGACTCTAATATTTGGGCGATTCAAGCAGAGTCTATATGGAAACACGTGAATACTGAATAAGACAATAATTGAAATATTTATGTTTAAAAAAAAATGTTACGTAGGATCCAAGAATATTTTTCATTCTATATAGCCAATTGGCCTTTGAACGAACGTCAAACGAGGCCATAACGATTTCTCGAGACACGTTCCTCAATTTCGCGATGGATATGAAGACCCTGGCGTCAGCGAAAGTTGCGTTATTTATAATGCTACGTAATGTTTGTCCAGGTGTACGTAATAGGACGAACAGATTGCCAGTAAAAAAAAAGGTCAACCAAATTAAATTGAAGGGATCGAAAATAAAACTGATATATAAAGATGAACTGCGTCGACTCAATTTGCTCCCACGATTCCTTCTATATTATAATAGTCTCTTTGTTTCCTAATTGCTCGACCTTGTTCTCATTGTCAAACCGTAATAGTTTCTCGAATTACGTAATTCTGCAGATCCATTGTAACAGAACTGCAGTAAAAAAATGCTCGATCATGCTACGTACGATGCCTGGATACTTTATGGCGGCAAAATAAACGAAATTCAAAATCCACGCAAGCTGTCGTCTCTCCCAGCGACTGCAAAGTCTCAGAGCTGTACAATCGTATGAATATTTATTAGAAAATTGTATAATATTAGTAGACTGATTTCAATGTCTCCCTAAAGAGCGAGAGCCTGTAGAAAGCGAGAACGTTCAGAAAAATTTGAGATACGTGGGTGCGTGAAAATATAAGTATGTTTCTCGAAGCGAAATTTCTATCGATGTCACAGACGATCAAATACGATAAAAGAAAACAAATGGGCTAGTAACATTTGAAAAAACTAAGGGAAATCACTCGCGCGGGCCAACATATAAGACGCGGACGACAATTATGAATGCTTTTAACGCGTTTACACACGTGATACGTGCTAGCTAAACCGTGACGTGTTTCTACGTTCAAATGTCAATGAACACGCGCCGTTTCTCTCTTTCCTCTCCTCCTCGTCACGATCCAGCGTGCGTCAGACTGAATGTCCGTCGTTTGTTTTCTATTTGCAGTGCACTTATATGCATGCACAAGGCGAATATACAAACCGAATATTTTTTTAATTCTTTGTCATATTTACTACAGATCCCATACGGCTCGGTATAATCAATATTGTTGTATAATAGTTCGAGTTCGTAATGCTGGACACAGTTCGTAGCTGGACGTACAACTGGCTCGCACGTCGCATTACCCATAAGACACTGTCTGTATCGTTTCTTTGTTTTTTAAGGTTAGAACACAATCGATTCACGCAATTTGTCTAGTTATTAATGACAAATAATTCAAGTTCATGGAATTGTCCATTTAATTTCTCTATTTGACGTAAGTACGCGCTCGGGCATATTATTCTTTTGACAGATTTGCCTCTAGAAAATGGCGAATGATCTTCTGTTTTGTAAGAGCGTGAGTGTCTCGACACGTATTTTCACGTATGTCTCTGCCTTCGGGTTACAAAGAGAACAGAAGTGCGCTGTTTACGTATGTTTCTTAAAATACAAAAAGCACATCTAAGACTGAATGAAATACATAAAGTGAATTTAATGATCTATATAAATAAATATAATAACATGCTCCTGGGGTATCACGTTGTACAATAATGTATGCAGCGATCAATCGTCGGATGAACGTGTCTCTTTTTCATTCTATAAATAGGACATAGGTATGCTATATTTGCGTACGTACAAGACATTTGGAAAAAAGATTCTTATTACACATAAATAAAATATACAATTGAGAGTAGGCTGATATGTAAAGGACAGCGAAACGTAAAATATTCTTCGTAATTACGCCTTGAAGAATATGCTATTAATAATATTATTATTTAAAACGATTCCATCTATGTAATATTTACAAAAAAGATTACCGCGATTTTTTATATTTATGTGGTTCGTATCTCGTGTGCCTAACTGTATATTTATATGGATGTAAAAAATTTCATGATCCTCGCGGTACGTTAACATGCGCGTGTGTCGCGAAGGTACTTGTCGCTGCTCCGTGAAATTTTGTATATTTTGACATAAGCGAAAACCAGTAGTCTTTATTATCGCGTGACGTTACAAAAGTAATCCTGCGGATTTGATAAACGAGTAAACTTGTGAATTGAACCAAGCGAGTTGCGAATTCTTGTGTAAATTGTTTGAAAAAAAAAACAAAAATAATAAAGACGGGATAAAAGATAACAAAAAGATGGCGAAGGAAAAAAAACATTGATTAATGGCTGCATCATGACTATTCATTACCATGCAAATGCCTATGTACACCACACTCGATACTTTAATATTCCGTCAGGCACGAGCGTCAAAATTTTCACAAGTTACGTAAAATTAAATTTTATCGTTTAATTGTGAAAACTTGGACAAAATTCATCTCGTCTCTTCCCGCGTCCTTTAATCCTCGAATACTCTATTCTAATTTCATTATTGCACCGTTATCGTCTCCCTAATTAATTACATTCGATGAGATTAATCGATTCCCACAGGGTGGAATACAACCTCATTATCAAATCCCTGACATCCGGATGGTATCGCATCCACGTGTCAATCATCGCTAAGCAGATAACAAGCAACAGTCACGGATGGGAATACGAATTATTATTTAAAAACGAACCTTAGACTTTTTTCCAAAAAATTCTCACGTTGCACGTAAGATAACCAATAGCTGCAAAGACGCACGGGTATAGTAAGACCAAAAAATATAATTCAAAAAGACGCAGAATTCGACAGAACCGTTTCATACGGAAGATCATCATTTTTCAATCTGTCAAATTTCAAAGTTATCAAGTGCATCACGTTGAACCCCTCCACACATCACATGCGTGAATCTCGTTTAAAACACTTGACGATCTCACTGACGAGTTTACATAATTTTAAAATTCATTAAATACAGAGAACAGTGCATTCGTGGTAGCTCGCAGCATATCTATAAACATCGAACAAAAAGGCGCGCCCTTCTCAAAGCTCGAATTCGTACCATTGCAATATTTTCAAAACCCAATTTAAAACGCGTGACTTTCCCGCCGTTATCACTGTGTCCAACGAGCTCCCGATTGAAATTCAAAAATAAATAGATTCAAAGAACATCTCAGGATCGTATATCCCAGATACATACGTACAATGCGTGACAGGATTTTCGCGCTCCTAACCCCTAGGCAGCCCCTTGTCACAAGGTCTTACTTGCCGAATGCATTCTGGACTCGTAGGTCATTTCGTCACTCGTTCATCTATTGTGTCTCGTACTGGCATTTCATAAAGCCTAGGGAGACGCACGCGATAAATGAGGTAGGGAAGTAAGTATTATATCCTAGACGTGATACGTAATTTAAAGAAATTAAATCTGCCTAGATCGTATCACCTCGCTTAACGCGGTATCTTCTCGGCAATCTTCTTATCTTGCGTTACTTGGTGAATAATACAGCGGATCGCGATCGTGTGCCGTACTCAGGGTGGGAGGGATAGGGGTTGATTAATGAAGGGGAAGGGAGGACGGGCGATCCTTCCAAAATTTTTCTTAAGATGTCTTAGATCTAAAAATACTCTCTCTCGCTTTCTCTCTCCTCCCCTCCCCCCCCCTCTCTCTCTCTCTCTCTCTCTCTCATTGATGTATCCTCACTCTCTCATGGCATATTCCCACGTATAGCTACATCTTAAGCTGATCCCGGAGATTCGCGAAGCTTGCCAAAACTTTATGCACTATTACATTCATTCACTGTACACACGACTCATACGAGACTCTATTAACATTCTCTATGAATTCTCACCGCACTTTTTTAAATCCATTCCGCATTCTCTTTTCTTCGACGTAAACTTCCACCACCCTTCGCGCCTTACTCAACCACTTTTGAACCATTCCGACGTATTCACGATTTCTACTTCTCTCCTGTTGTTCTTCCTCTTCTTCTTTTCGTTCCTCATCCCCAATCCTCTTGTGTCTCTTCTTCTTAAAACGACTCCAGTTGAACACTTGTACTTGAACTCTTGCACTATCCTCGGCCGTGACCTTGATTGCTCCCTTCCATCTTGATTGGCCAAGATAAACTCTCAGCTAATCTGGCGCATCTCGAGACCCCTTCTTGATAATAGTGGCTTCGAATTTCAAGACGGCATTGAATGGCACTCCGTGATCGGTATAGTGCCTCGTATCGTAATTGTGAACGGGAAACCCGCGCTTATTCCGGGCTAGGTGCCCCTCGTCATAAAAGATAATGATGTTTATACGCGGCGACGATACAAGGAACGACGATAACGACGACGGGGACTGCTCGAGATGATTATGACGTCGATAGTTTGGCGCGTTATATTAAACGTTCGAAAAGTAATGTATACTGTTTCGTTTTATCCGCGCGCATTAACGCACAGTCATTGCAATCTTAAGACATGTCCTCAGGACGGTCGAGAATAATTAACCTCGGGATCCTCTTCGAGTTGACACGATTCCGTTGTCGTTCAGGCGTGGCGAAACGGGAGTGTTTATAATTGCCGATTTTACGGATCTTCGTCGCTCTGCTATGGCTAATGGCTAATGGATACTTTGTCGCAAAGTTTAACGACAATCGCGCAATTAATCGGATGATGAAGATGAACGACAAAGCGCTCTCGAGACAGGCTGGACATTTTTCTCGATGGAACGATGCGTGGCGTATTTTAACGCCGTACGTTGCTGATGCGATGACGTATAGAATGAGGCAACGTATTTCCGGATGCGTGATGTCAAAAAAACTTACACGTAGTTCGAGTCTTCTGATAATTATGAGAATCGTGATGGGGGTGCCGATCCGATGGAGAAGAGCGAATTGGAGGAAGAGATTCTTCCATGGGAGAAATAATAGCGTTTGAGCGCGACGGCCAGAATAGATCGTGGAAGTCGAAGCGCGATATTTTTTAAAGTATTCACTTCGTCGGGACACGAGGTAACAGCCTGTAGAAGCGGCCTGGATAACGTTATCCGCATTCTTGCCGAACCGCGACCCTTTACCGAAATCAGATCGAACGTCGCACGCCAATTGCGCTGCACCGTTCAAAATTCGGCGAACTCCTTAGCGCACTTTTCGGTAGATGAGATTCTAAGCGCCTCCTCCTCGTAGTCATCGAAGTTGCTAGTGTCACCAGGACCCTTGCACCTGGGTATGAACGGAGCTTCGATCCTTCTTTGGAAGACGGCTATCCAGTCGGTACTCGCAAACCATTTGTGTCCCTTTATATCATTTACGCCTGCTTTGAGGTTACCATACCTTTTGGTGAGGTCAACTTGTAGTAGGTTGCGTAGCATATCTTTGAGGTCTGAACCAAAGTGTGATGGGAAGCGTACCTTCCCACTGACTATCTTCTCATAGATTTGTATAGGTTGATCAGCGAAGAATGGTGGATACCCTGCTGCCATTTCATAAACTAGAACACCTAAGGCCCACCAGTCGACAGCCTTGTTGTAGCCCTTGCTGAGAATAATTTCAGGTGCTAGATATTCTGGTGTACCGCATAGAGTCCACGTCCTGCCCTTCACTCTCTTAGCAAAACCAAAGTCTGTGACCTTAAGATAGCCTTGAGAATCGATCAGCAAATTTTCAGGCTTTAGATCTCTGTAGATCAGGTCAAGATAGTGAAGGTACTCAAATGCCAAGACTATTTGGGCAGCATAAAACCGAGAGTGGGGCTCTGAAAAACGGCCTACTTTTCTGAGATGACTGAACATTTCTCCACCTGGCACATACTCCAGCACCATGTACAAATTTGAGTTGTCCTTAAAGTGAAAGCGAAGAGATACAAGGAAGGGAAAGCTGATAGCCTGAAGGATTCTCTTTTCATTCAGAGTGTGCTCCACCTGCTTGAGCTTGACAACCTTTTGCTTATCAAGTATCTTCATAGCATAATACTCCTTGGTTGGTTTGTGCTGAACTATCATGACCCTGCCAAAGGACCCTGTACCCAGGGTCTTGATTCTCTCAAAGTCATCAAGACCCGCGGTATTTGTTGGATTCTTCTTCCACTTCTCTTCAAATTCCTCCTTAGCCTGATCGAGGAACTCCTTAACGCTCTCGGCAGCGTCCACCTTCTTATTCGCCGTAGCGGCATTATTGCCCATCTTACTAGCCGCACTCGAGCCTGCCAGGGCTCCACGAATATCGAATTTTTTCAGAATTTTTGCGCCTTTGCGTAACTTTTAATCAACACCAGCCGGTACGATACGCTCGAGCAAATCCTCGGCGTATCCACCAAGCGTAAATTTTACCGGAAACTCGCGAAATATCCCAAGCTTTTCCGCGAAAATGGGTCAACACTCTTCGTTCGCACCTCGCGCCATCTTTCTTCTCAATTACGCCCGCTAGCTGTTCGTTCTTGCTCTCACCCACCACCGTGAATTATCTACGGTTCTAGCGTCGCGCGCCACGAAAACAAAACCGGACGCTTCTATCTAACTTTATGATATTTCTCCGTGAATAACTCTCCCTCTCCGTCACTCTTTTTCACTTCTCGCTCTCACCTCTCTTGCAACAACAAACCAACACTCTCCACTGACTACTATCCTCTTGCTTCACAATTCACAACTCCCTTCGCTTCTTTCGAAATGTCAAAACACGGTGTTCCAATTTTCGAGCTTCTCGTGACCGTGTTCCTTATATTAATCGCGATTTCTCGCTTTCAATTTCTCTTGGTATCGTTTTGGAGCCGTTCTAGGCCCGATGGCCTTGCACTCTTCCCAGAGACACACACTGCGTACCCGAAAGCTCCACGTTCCACGGCACACACGTCTCCCGCTGACAAAATATTATATCATCCAGCAGACGAGTTGCTTGAGTACTATTTTTCCCTAAGATGGCGGCGCCGCGGCCTGTGTTGTCCCGGATTTCGCACGAACGCGAAAATGGAGGAGAGCTCCTAGGAGGTGAACCTCGCGCGGCGAGCCACCCACTGGACAGGTCAATTCCACCTTCCAAGTAATTCTGTGAGATGGCGGAACAATCGCCGTCAAGTCGGCTGGTGCTGCCCTCCAACGTTAGCGTCGCGGAACTCCCACTTTCTCTGCAGCTGTACGATCTGTTCCCGTTAATTTCCACTCACTGTAATCCACCTCTCCCTTGACTTTAGCGTAGACACAAGAATAAAATAAGCATACGAAATTTTTCTCAACGCCAAAGTATCCTGCGTTGCGAATAAATAATAGCTATACTTTGCTTTAGACTTCCACTCAAATTTGAATCTTCTCATCAAAATTGTGTATAACGAATCTACATTACGTGTTCCTTGTTACACGTACCACATGTCTCACGTTTGTATGTACGTCAACATGAGCGAAGGTAATCTCGAGACACCCCGTAGAATCGGATCAATGACCCGCATAACCTTTTATAGAATAGCTTATAGCCAGTTTCATTCCTTTCTATCTTTTTCCACGTGAACCCTCGCGAAGGGTTGAAAATAAAAAAATTTCTTATATTCTTCAAGCTTCTTCCATCTGTATAGTAACCTTTTACATGCATACCAACACCTAAACTCTCTACGTCTCGCAAAAAAACAAAGTAAAGATAGCTCGACTACGTACACGAGTCATCCCTGAATTAGCTTCCGCCAGCAAGCTACAGAAGGAACAGGTAAGATCAAAACTACGTAAGAGAGAATGAGAGAGAAAAGGGAGAGATAGAGAAACCATACTACTTCGTCCTCATAGCGATAACGGAACCGGTTCACCGTTGTACCAAACCGGAGACCAAATCATCATCCTACCTAACGACGACGTAGAACGGAACAGTGCAAGCACAGCGTACCCTAGAAAAAGGCGAATAAACCAAAGTTACCAAGCGTTTCGGCCACGCGCTATTTATAGCCACGAGGTCGACGTAAAAGGGTCGAACGATGGAGGGCATACGGAAGGCTGGACACTCGTCAAGCCGTGATAATCCTTTACCGATTAGTTTCTACCGATATACGCAGGCAAAACTTTACGACAGCTCTATAAGTAGGCAAGACTTACACCAGCGAATAAGCCGATAACCCTGTTCTATGCTCGAGTACAGGATTCAGGTACAGCTGGATGAGAAAACATGGACATACGTGCATATACAGAGCCTTGCAAAAGGACCGGCCTTTTTGGCTACACAGGAAGATACGTGTATATCTGCTCCACACACATTCCTCAACATCTACGTTAACTAGACTTGCATTCACCACCAGTTAAGGTGAGGTTATGTTATGTTATGTTACCTTAGAGTTAGGTCGAACCCTATCTCACCCTATGGATGCGCGCGACTACGCGCGCTATCGATTCAAAGACGAGCCCAGCAAGAGACCTCTGTGCCAATTTGTCAAAGAGTTCGTAATCTTCAGTCGACGATTGTTTTCTTACCAAGTTTTTCGCTCTACTACAGAAATCCTTGTGAAAGACATGCAGCGCTTTTAATGCCTTTAACTAATATAAAGACATGACTTTTTAATGCTCTCTGCGTCGAGTACTGCTATATCGTTATCACGTAATGTTAGATAAAAGACGCGCGAGGATTTTGGTTCGTTCCGCGGGAAGTTGCAGCACGGTGAAATCTTTTTGCGGTCATCGCATTCGTCGCTCGACCTTCTTCGCCAATGTATAATGGAAAGTTACGCCGCTATTTCTGCACGCTTCTACTAGTCTGTTAGAACGCGGGATTGTTTGTTTGTACTTCCATCAGAATTTCCTCTCGATTCAATTCACTGCAATTACGAGACTTAGTTGTTTTATAAGCATTTCTTACTATTAGAAAGTTATAGCATTAAAAACAAAATCAATATACTCATTCATTTTTTCTTGCACTCAGTTATAATTTTATAATTTTTAAATTTGATTCGAGTACTCGAGAAAGAATATCTAAGTCGAATAGGAGTGTGAGATTACAGAAATATTTTTACATATAGGAACAGGTGCTTGACGTTTGGTTGTTGGCACACAATTTTAGAAATACTTTCCCACCATCCAGAAGCATGACAGCGTCGTTATGTTGCGTTTAATTCGTTCTATGAAAGACAGGATCTGATCTCTTTCTTTCTCGCTTGCAAATTTATTTCAATGACTATCCTAAGATATATTTGTAAAGATGATTTCACCGTCGACACAAATTTAAGAGGCGAACATTACGAAATAATGTAACTTTACGTAAACGTCATAAAACCCACTAGTATGTACTCCGGCAGATTAAACGACGTTAATCTGTTTAATTAATTTCTAACGAACTAATATAATAATAATAATTTTATATATGACGTCAAAGGTAAGTTCAGTGTCCCATGGCGCCATCTATGCGGAATAAGTGGTAACTAAGGGCAAGGCCACTATGTTACAGAAATTTCAAAACATTTATTTACTGTCCTTTTGATGGATGAATATCTTTCGCAATAAGTTGCGATACGAAACAGGATATTTCAATAAAAAAATAGTACCATATGTTGCGTCACTATCGTCGAAACATTAAAAATATTTAAGGGCAACAAAAGCAGGAATCTTTCGGCTTCGCTTTATTCCCTCTTCAATTTCTATAGAATCTTTTTCTTTGGTCATTTCTTGTTTTACATTAACCCTCAGGAAAATGGAGGAGGATGTATATTCCAGCATTAAATGATAATAGTAGGATATCCTGCCGAGTTTCATTAATTTTAATAGGAGCTTGTCGAATATACATATAAATTAAACCGCGATAAGGTCAAATGAGCATAATTATCACGAGCCTGGAAATAAGCGAATATCGTTTCGGTCACAAATGTTGGTCACGATTATTCATTAAACGATAACCTCAAATGTCAAAAGTTTAATTTCAGAATCAATACTTTCGGAACATGAGCTCGGATCTCCTATTTCGAATCTAGCAATTCTACGTACATATATGGCTTCCAAGGTGAGCAAGAAAAGTTTTATCACTTGAAAAAATCAGTACCGGCGACAATGTAAACTCAGGTGACTATAAGTTCTCTACGTTACTTTTAAATTATCTTTCCGTAACATGCAATTTTACGCATTCCAAGCAAATGAACAGTCTATTTAAAAATAAACGTAAAAATCCTAAATATCGATTTCCAATAGTACCAGCGACGAAGATAGCTGCACACCGTCTAGGTCCAGATATAAATAAATTGCTCCTGCAGTCCTTGTACCAGAGTAAATGAATAAAATCAATAATGTCAATACAGGATTGTTCTGTTGTCACAATTGGCACGAAGTATCCCTATACATAAATTCTCATTGATTTAGCTGTACGCATATCACTAGTGACTATCGTGAAGATATTATCATCGATATTTTTCAAATCATCTTTGGTTAAAAAAAGATTCTCATACCTTTCTCTTCGTCGGTACAATATTATATGAAATATATAAAATTTTATCATGACACGTAACTGATAACTCGTATATCCAACTCCATAATTAATTTCATATCTCACCGATTCTTCATAAAATCCTATTACCACATGATATACGTTTACCACCATAAAAATCACTATCAATAATTAATCTTTATCGTCTCAATTTTTTCGTCAATCATCGAAACAAGATTTCCCTTTCCAAATCTAACGATTTCAACGCCATCGGTGAGTTCACGGCGAAGTATGCAACTAGTCATCTAATTATAATAACTTGAAAATAGAAGCGCCAAGATTCAAACTGTCAATTTTTCATTTCAAATTGGACCGGTCATTTAAATTGTTTTGTTCAGCAAGTAACCTTACATAATAACAGTCTTCTACGACTACTAATTTCATGTATTGATCATACCGATGAAAGCTACGTCACACGACTGAACCATTGAACGAAACATTACCACGAAACGTAAGAAAGATCGCACTGGCACTGCTCCTCTGCTTTATTCACGTCCAATCCCAATGGAACTTAAAAAAATGAACGACTAGAATGAACAAATTAACACGTTGCTACGTTCACGCGTTTCCAACCGTGAAACCTGTTAACTGGGATCCGTATGGACGAACCTTAATGGTCGACTAAGAAATTTCGTAACGCGACGACGAGGCATGGTTAAGTGAAGTGGATGCCAAATGATATATTCTCTCGCCGGGGGAAACCTTCGAGTTTCATAAATTATTCAAGAGAACATTTTTGTTCCTTATCCAAAGCACCGTTAAACTCTTGACTCTTCTGACAGTACAGTAATTCTCCTAGCTGTTGTCAGCCGCGTGGGAGGTTATGCGAAATACAGAGCATTCACAACAGTAGTACCTTCGGAGCTACAAATCATGTTCTAACTGTTACAAATATTACTAGTACTTACCTACTAAATAGCTGCGGCAGATATACTGAACCGGTGAGATAGCCATTACTATTTTTCTATAGTCTGGCTGCGATAGACTCTTTATCGTATTCGATATCTATGACATTCGATAAACACTTTTTTTTGAGGTTAGGATTATTTATTGAATCTGACGTATTAATTATAATCTTATAAATATTGCCAAGGTTCATTGACATCTCAAAACTATTCTATGCACGTGCAATCTAATCATTTATTTTTCAATTCCTTTAGTTCAACAAAATTAATAAATTCTTGCTTCATTAAATTTGTACTTTTACTGCCTACGCCATTGTATCGTTACCGGTTACTTACGATTAGGAGTACGTATCGCTTCCTTGTACCAAACAAACTAGTTCAGATTGTTTATCAGGTACAAGCTATAGGTTAATGAACCTACGAATACTTATTGGAAAGAACTTTCTCACAACTTTTAAAAGGCTTCTCTCGGACGTCTTCCCAATGTATGTTTTAATAGCGTTGAACATATATATATATGTATATTTGTTGCTAAGAGATAATAAAACATTATCTTGCTATTGTGAACGTCCCTTGATTTTTCGTGTCCCCAAAGTATCTTTTGGCAAACGTATATATATGTATATACAGATGAAAGTGTCGCGAGGCGCTTGGGAATACTTTCAATAGTACACAGACTCTCGATACTTCTTAACTTAATCCTTGTTTCCAAGATACGTAAGATTTCATTTTTTGACGATATCCCCTGTCCTCAACCTAATATGAGTGCTCGAAGATAACGTGGATGGTTCTAAAAAAAGAAAAAGCTAACTTTCGTGTGACAAGAATCTGTCTCGTTCAACTGCCAGAGCATATAAAAATATATACCTATATATATGGATCGATCATAATACTTTATAACTCCAATATCTAATTTAATCACGAAAAATTAAATTTGTATTACTTGTAACGTAACTAGAATCGATATTTGACCGTTTTACATACGCATGCTCGAGCTGCAGATGGTTAGCGTTCGATAACGTTTCCTATTATGAAACCATTACGTATACAAGGATCGATAAGATATAAAGCGAGTGAAAAATTCTTGAAAGAAGATCTATCACTTAATTAATTAAGTTTAATCATTATCGATCATTCATTATCCTTGTTTGAGATCATTCTTATTATATAGGTTATAACTATCCTAATGAACATGGATATACGTTATTAACATTTGTCCGTAGTACATGCAAAGATAACCTAACAATGTAGCAAACCTTCATAAAACTTTATAACGTCGTCCCATTTATATATATATATATATATATATATATAAAAGGTAATTCTGGGACACCCTGGATATATACACAAGAATCCCTGATAATTGAGATGATCGACAAGAGTAATTAATTTATAGGAAATATTGAGAAAACATTTGAACCATCTATGTAAATACATTTATATAGTTCCAGTTTATTTTTCTTTAAATAGAATAATGGTTTGTACCTAAATAACAGCATTAATCAATAGATCCATTTGTAAATCGATGGTCCTTGTGTTACGAATAATCAGTAAACCAGTATAAGTAACAGAAGTAGTCATAGCATATAAAGTATTTATTTTTTCATTATCTTTTTAAAAATATATCCACATATGTGTTCCCTTACGTAATAAGCCCGTACGCATGCGTTTACATACATTACACATCTGTACGTTTGAGTTTACCTGTATGATGTACAAATGAGATTTTAACAGTGCGGTTGAAAATTGAACGAAGAATGGATGTTCGGTGCTGAAAGTTCCATCCACTTCAGATGGCATATTTCTTCATCACGTTTACGTGCTTTTTACCTAAAAACAGACGTCCATTTCGAAATGTCGTAACAGAGTAAAAGTACATCCAGCACACTAACCGGATGCCGATAACGTGCTTCGATCGATTTCATTCAATCCGATTGGCATTGCATGCCACTAGTTAATTTACCACGAGAATCGATGGTAAATTCCACAGAAGCAGATACGTAATCCAATGGCAATCCTATTGCGCTTTATTAGGTCAGTGTCTACGGGACGAACATCGAATCTTATTTAAATTTTCGTTATAACGAATAATGAAGTACAGATTCTAGTAGGGAATTTTTGGAATGACAGTTTTTTACTTTCTCATGGGTCTCGTAATGTATATCCTAACCTTAAATACTTCTTGCCACGTGCTTCGCGTACAAAGGTGGTACATCTGCTCTACGTATTTTCACCTGCACGATCAGAGACTGCAGCTGCATGCCTCCAAGGGTTTATCCATCTCGTGATGCTTTTGAATGGTTGCTGGCACGTGGCTAACTGTTGGAGGAGAAAGGAATAATAGTAAAGGAAAAATTACAAGGTCCGTCAGTGCTATTAACTTATATGCGTAGGGAACAAAGTGTGCAATGAGGTCACTTGATTCTTCCTTGCGATTCTCATGAGCTTGAGTTTTGTATTTTAGAAAAATTATTAAACGTACTACCGTGTGGAGTTGCTCGTCAGAATATTCTGGGATTACACGTGAATCACCGTATTTTTTTATTTACACAAACATTTCATTTTCAGGTGAAAAAACGTCTCGGAAATTTTTTCGTACCAGGAGTTAGCGCGTACGTTTCCAAATTTTCCATAGGATCGTAGGCGCGGCCAGACATGACTCAAGTTAAGTTATTTTCGTATATGAGACGATGTAATACTTGAAACAAACTTTATTTAGCGGCAGGACGTTACTTGCGTTTAGTCACTGAAGTTTTGACCCCTCTCCCTTCCAATTCCCTCACCTGACTTTTCTTGTTGATTTTTCCTATACACCCTCGTGCCTAGGATACAGAGAACAGATTCGTGTGTAGCAAAGCGGGGCCATCTGCTTTTATTTGAAATTACAAACTACTTTTATTATATCCTCATATTCTTTTGAAAAAGTATTAAGGTGTTATGAAAAATGTTATATTTTTTAAATTTTAATTTATTTCTCTATCCCATACTTATCTATATTATGGTGATTTCTTAAATTGAAGAAAATTAAAAGCATTGTCATCAACGTCATTAATATTGTATTTTAATAAGATAAGGAGACCTTCGTTAAGTCATTATTATCCCCAACATCGTCATTATACTGTGAGATCGTCTCCTATCCACCGCCCTATTAGCAACCTGACGCAAATAGTTTCCACATCGGTACCGAGCGCTAACGAAAATGTCCGAGTATCCCCGAAAGTAAGTGCAAGAATACGACAGAGAATATTATTGGACGATGAATGCAGGTCACCCGGATAAAAAATTCAAAAGTGGAGCGAGGGTTGCAGATCGGCGGACACGTTTCGAGAATTCGAGGGTTGAATCAAATAATTATGAATGGAATAAACGTGAAAGATAATAAATATCTGGCCGATAAACATCCAGTAAAATAGATAAAATTTGCCCTCCTTCTAACCTCATCTTCCAGTTCAAGTTACACAATTATCAATTATAATAGCAGCGACACGATCCAAGAGTATCGAATGTATTTGGCAATATTGAGATTTATCAAGTTGTATCTCTTGGATAAGAAAGGTTAATATATAATAAATTGACATAATTTAAACATTGTTAGAACCCTAATCGAAGTGTTTCGCATACTGTTATAATCACTAAAATATTTTCTCCTAATATATGTAGAAAATTAAAATATGAATATAAGAAGCTTCTAACGATCGAATTAATTTAACATTACTTTGTATTCCTGGTGGGATGCTCCTGTTTAATGGATGTCTTGGACGTGGGCTAATTGATCATTAGCGGATACTGTTAACGTAAAAGTTTTAGCTCTCAGAAACACGTGGTATTATATCTAGGATAAGTTTGTTACTCTTCCCTCACGATTTGTTGAATATAGCCGTATCGATCTATGACCAACCGTATAGACGCATGCGCCCAGCAAGAGTTCAGAGTCAGGTTCTGTTGGTATTCAAGAACTTCCACGCATGCTCATCTACAAAAATACTTTTTTTACGCTCTTATAACTCTTCGAAATATATATATCTACTATTACACGTTTTTAAGTGAGGGGCAAGAAATGCACAGTGTCTTATCATCCCAGCCTTATTGTTCGTCTACCGGAACAGACCTAACTGTACTCATTAAAGTTACATTCACTTCGTCTCATCTTCCGTGAAATAATGAATTTTGATCATGTGATTGTATACTTAAATCGAAATAGACTTATAAAAGATGCACAGATTTATCGTAATATATCTTTAAATATAGCAATATTCGTAATGTCTACCCTAAGAAAGTACCCTGAAAGTCATATGAACGTTCTGTGAATTTTCCACAAACATTTTCTGCTGTGTGGTTATAGTAAAGAAATATATTATCGAAAATTATAAAAAAAATAATATATGATATTGTTAAAGATCTGACGATACTTATTAATAATTCAATATTTCTTGTAACTTGAATAATATGATGAAAACAACGTTGGTATGCCAATGACTGTTTCTTATAATGCTTGTAGAATTACTTCGCAGCATAACATTTCGGCAAGATGTCCCTGCTTGGACGCTTGGAAAGACGCTGGATATTTATTATTTTAACGCGTGGAAGCATCCTGTAACATGGACGTAAAAGTGGATGGGGCAACACGACGGCGACCTCGTAGCCCCGCGCACCTTTTAATACACGCCGGAAATGAGGGCGTGCGCGAAACTTCTAGAACTTTCCGTGAGACCGTTTCCGTATGGAAGTGTCTTAGCGATTGAGCTTAGTACTCAAGAGGCAAGTGCGTTAACGATCGTTAAATCATATAGCCCAGACTATTAAATGTATGCCCAAAGGACGGTAAATGTCAAAAAGTTCGTTGTTTAAACGATTCGCGGCGAGAACCGGAAATGTACGTTATTTTTACGCGTTCCGTAAGCTGCGCTCCGATTGGCGACGATCTTTTTGGTGAGGGGAAAACAAGGTGGTTGAATTCAAAGCCTCAATAAGAACAGGCCTGAGCATTCAGTGACCAAAACGGTCGATGACTTTCGTGATGCAATATATGACTTACATACTTTATCGTTTCTATTATTATACATCTACTTAGTGTTAAGTTTAATTCAATATAATGTTAGTCATATATACTTTCGATATTCTATAGATAATTATTAAACTTAATTTTAATAATTATATCTACCGTTCGATAGTTCACAAGAAATCAATAGAAACGTTCACTGGCTATCGGCAGTAGAGCTACTACGTGATAACAATAAATATATTCTCTCGTTGTGGTTATAACGTTTTTTATTGATACATAAGGAAACATAAATAAACTTGTATCTAAGTTTCATAGTTCCTATTATAAATTCAAATTGTTTCCTTTGAAAATTATTTATCGTGTTTTTTCATCGCGCTGCTTACAGGCCTGCTGTTTAGTAGGCCCAGATAAGAAATTGATTTTTGCGCCATCTACAAACGAGCGGGAAAGGAAGCCGTTTGAAGGCCGCCGGCCTGCCGGCCGGGCCAAGCCAAGGGACTCAGGCGAATCAGTGAGCGAGTCTCTCTGCCATTTGCGCGTCAGTACGCGGCAGTAGTGTTACCCGGATTCTCAGTGTGGTTAAACGTGTGCAGAGGACGCAACATTTTTAAGTGTATTCTTCAAAAGAGTGTTTCGCATACTTTAATTATCCGATCACCATGGCCGATACCGAAGTCGATACCAAGTGAGTAGTCCTCGTGTGATTATAATTCAATTTAATTAGAGAAAATCGGGCGTTTTCAGTCTCAAAGTAATTGAGGTACGAAGCACGCCAAGCGGGTAGGGTAACGCCGCGTCCTTTTGCATTTTCTTACTTTACTTCAGAAATCATTACGTTTTCACTTATACTTAAGCGCCCACGTGCCCATGTGTTGTTTTTACATGAAAAATTGTTTGTTTTCTGAGATTTTTTTTGTGTTACACGAATAAGTGCCCTAAAGAGGGGGAACCACGCCGCCCCTGCGCGGTATTTTCCATTTGGCCGTTGATATCGTGTACGGTTATTCTTTCTTTTTTTTCAATATAAAATGTTTACCTTCTGATGATCAATTATATAAATTTAGTTTTCGATAATGATGCTGTTAATAATGCTCTAAGAGTTTTAACGATTTTTACGTGACTGTTTCGACGCTTTCTTACTAATGCCGAGGAGGGGAAGAACGCCAATCATGTACGCGCAGCCCTGCTTTACATTTATCTACGTTCTTCCATATTTCTTGAAGGATGGCTTTCGTACGACGAAATATGTGGCCGTGCGGCTTTCTAAAATGGTTTATAGGAAAAATTTTTCATTAAAAACTAGCATTCCTACCTGCCATAACAAAAGTTAAGGCTCATAGAACGCGGGAGAATCCTGCTTACAGTTGATGCATTAACTAAGATATTTTCGAACACGTCACGTTAGTCTTATAACGATAATAAACTACATACAGATTTGCTTCTGTGGTTTTCGTAAAATAAGAGATCGTATCGTTATTTATAAAAGTGTAAAAGAAACCGTTACGTTGTCCTTTCGTTTGGCGCCATTGTTTCATGCCGGTTTTATTCGATACAATCTACACTCGACTTTCCATCTTCTATTGACTCATCCTTCAACCTGAAAACGAGAAGAGTTTAATGTTAGTCATCCCGGCACAATTCGTCTCCTATAGTTTAACACGTACCAGAAGTTTGTCATACTTTTTGCCACGGACTGTACGCGCGTCGTCTCCAAAAGAGAACGGCCGGCATATCGATCTGCTCTCCCTTACCGATTAGAGAGTAGCAAACATAATACTACAATGTATTTACAAGAAAATAAAGGTTCAGTATATCGTCATGAAATGATACAGTAATGAAAGAAAAGCAAATGGTCTTTTATGAGGTTAAATTCACAATAAGTCATTGTATATGATGCTGACTGCTTCAATGTATATTTCGGTCCGTGAGAACCAACGATTTGCCGCGCTGGAAAGGGGATTCATGGTGGGGGAATTCCAGTTCATACCGCCGCCATGGTGTGTCGCCACTGCGGGCGTCCTATCTCTATTTCTCTCTTTTATATTCGCGTTATTCTCGAGCTCTGTGTACCCACCTGTACGTAGCGTACGTGTATTCTTTGTGGAATAGCCCGGCTCTCTTAGGGAAATCCAGCAGGTCTACGCCGGTTATATCGTTATATGCATTCTCGACGAAGAGCAAAGATTATATCTTTCGTTTACCATTTAAAATATACTGGATCTCTGTATGCCACCTAGTATAAACTTTACCTCGCATTGTCGATTACAATATCTAAGATTTAAGAATAATTAGGTACAAGGCAGCATTCTTGGTACATTTTTCGGAGAATATTTTTGATACTATGTAAAAATAGCGTCGACATATTTAAAACGTTTTCTGTGTCCAGGGACGTATCTAATAATGTTGGTATCGATTATCTTCCTGGTAGTATAACCGAAGGGTTCTCTGAATCTACATCATAGCTATTTTACTTGGTCAATGGTTTATTTAGGCCGTAGACATTTTTTTTTATTGCGTTTTGCTTTTTTATTACCCATTTTATCATTGCACGGATATTATTTATCTCTGTGAGAATTACAGCACTTCTACTATTTTTATAACGTTTAACCGCAATATCCGTTCGGTTCACTATTTTACACAACAAAAGGTTTTAAAAAAATAAGTTCCCTACCACAATCTATGTAGTTAAGAGAAATGTATTGAAAAGGCTAATTTAATATAGAACTCAGGTCGTAAAGGGTCTCTTCTTCCGACTTGCGCGGTTACACTTGGCTTCGGGTGTCGAAACAGAGACCTGCTGTTCTTAGAATTCAGTTCTAGTATCAACCGTTTTGGTTGCTCAGCAGTCGACACACGGTTCTCCGTCCGGTAAATTTCCGTCCGCCATCCTTTTCTTGGAGGCGCGCGCGGAACTGACGTCTTTGTTGCACGTGCCGCCGCTGAATATTGCTGTCTAGCCGAATGATTCGTTTCGTTACTCAGTATGTTACAATTTTAATTATACGTAAAATGCAAGCGGAGCTAGCTTTAAATTATTATTTCTCGTAATTAGGATAATTACCTATGAGTCATTTAATATTTGCGAAAACTTTAGAATATAGTTTATTTGATCTATGCCGCTGTTACTACTCTAAAACTTACTAGATTAACATATATGAATTCGTGGAATGCCACTAATGCGTTATTATATTTCCCATGTATCTGGATTGTTTCAAGTGATTTATCTGAACTAGGAAATACTTAATTGAAATTTTATAATAACATTGTTATACAATCATATACTTGATGATTTAAGTATACCTTCATTAATTAAACTAACGTTTTTTTTTTTCATTACCAGGGAAACCAAGATCGCTGCTTCTCCCGAGAAGAAAGTAGTCGAGGAGGAGAAGAAAGTCGTAGAGGAGGTCGACGAGGACTCCAAGGCATCGGAGAATGGAGATGCAAAGGAAGCCAAAGAGAATGGCTCCAGCGAAGAGAAAGAATCCGACGAAAAGGAGGCAGAATCCACCGAAAACGGTGACTCCACAGGTATATACGGAATACTGTATCCATCACAGAATTCCTTTTATATAAGTAATAAAAAATATATATTTTACTGGGCCAAACTCTATAACGATGTACGCATATTTCAGATGCCCCTGCTGATGCCTGTTGCATAAAGAGGAAATCAACGGCAGGAGCTGATGCGGCTGACGGTGCACCTGCAGATGGTGCAAGTCCGGAAAAGAAAGCGAAACTTGAGGAGAAACCTGCTGAAGCTGAGAGCAACGGTGATGCCGAAGCCGCGGCCTAATACTTTTCCATCTTCGCTATTCTTCATAAAGTCCCAATCTTTTAAATGCAGTTTTACCATCTGAGCGTAAAAGCAGAACACAACATAATCAACTGTGTGCGCCGTCAGTAAGAACGAGTGTCGATGGCAAAACTCTGATATTGTTTACTATTGCGTTTTTCGTGTTGAGAGTGAGCGTGTGTATGTTCGTTACAACTCGCGTGTGACAGCCTCTAGCGAGGGTGCTACTCTATCATTAACATTGCACCTGCGTACAATAGCGTCATCATAAAAACTAATTCGCTCCTTCCCATCCCCGTATCGCATAACGACAAATACCTACGGGTTACACAATACTTATGTAGAGATAAATTAACGAGGTGTAATAGTGACGGACACACAAAGAAATGGTAGAATTACAGAAACGGAGATACACGTGACACACAACACACACATAAACACCTACCTACTGTTATATCTTTAAATTAAGGTTAATACGAGTAATATTAGAAATATGGTATTTGTAACTCGGAGAGGCGGAGGAACCAAAAGCGGCGTACTGATTACTGCCTAGGAAAATAGAAGTAACTTTTTTTATTTCCTTGGGAGACCTGCAGGCGCCACTGTACAACTCCTCTGAGGTACGGATATATTTGACGATAGATGATTTCAACACGATATCAGAGACAAAAGAGAACTTATTTTTCTGAGGTAAAATACATTCCTGCGACACGATTTGGCCATACCAGGTGACCTACTCACTATGACAACTGTTTAAGGCATACTCTTCTATTTATACGACGTTGACCCTGTGAGTATTGTTTCGCCGATATGATTATATGTGTATGTACAATGTTCGTGTAAGATCTGGTTTTCTTAAATAATCCTTTTTATTAATATTATCAAATGCCAATGCAAGTAAAAAAATAAGTACCGTTGCGAGGTTTTGGAAACCAGTCGTTTGATTTTTACTGAGGAATCAGACGATATGTGTATTTGTCCAACGAAATTTGTACGACAACAGTTATATGAAAACTTCAAATATATCTGGGCCAAAAATACTTAATTCGATGGTTTTTAATTTGTCGTTTTAATATCGTAGATTATTTCGTTTGGTGAAATCTATCGGGACAGGCTAAAAAGCGGGTGCAATGTGCAGCTTTCATGGTATCCATCAAAAGCAATCTCAGTATTTTGATTTTTATGATTAAAATAGTTTACTTCTATTTTGTTTTGGTGACATATCTTTTTATTATTTCTATCACCAAGGTGCGAGGGTTGCATTTACATTCAGTACAATATCAAAACAAAAAAGGAAGAGATGCGTACCTAACGTCGATGGTACGGCACAGATAACTTTAAAGAGTAGAATATATATGTGTGAGATAGAAATGTTTATTCAAATTGAGAAAGTAGTTTAGTTGAAATAATTTTGTCATCGTCATCTTATGAAGGATTTGACCCAAAATTTGACGGTATCCTGTGACTAATAAAATTGCACCAAATACTGCCATTTTTCTTGATCGTGTATACATTCAAAATTCTCCAATACCCTTGTACAATTTCGTTCATCGACGAATTAGCACAAGGATATATCGTACAAAATTAATGGGGTCTCTAACAGTAGAATGAAACGATTACGCAATATAAAGGCGTTTAGGAAGTAAATATTATTTACCTATTAACAAAGGATGTACATGTACAGGATAATATATATTTGTGTACTTCAATGTGTTCGCTACTTCAAACAAAATAAAACTGATTCTGTAGTACGGCAATAAAACTTGCACGCCTTAACTAAAAACATTTCATGAAGCATTGTACTATTATTATTTATTCATTTAAATATTATTATCATTCGTGATATGTAATGACTCATGCGATAAAGCAGTTATACACATCCTGTATATCATGCAATGAGGGGAATCCCCTGTATTCCTGCTTAAACTAATGACGCGTTTTTATCATTCGTTACTGTGTTCGATGAAGTATTAACAATGTTTAACAAATTATTTGAATCAGCAGTAAATTGTAAAAATTTTCTATATGTACAACTTAAGATTTAATTATGGTAATTAAGACTTGTCAGATATAAATATCAAATGATATGTACATCCTGTTAAGGTCAGAAGAAACGTGTTGGCAAAACTGTACGTTAAATCTCTAATGCCATTAACATTGTTTATCCCTTTAACTCGGTTTAACTGTGTTATTAGCCAATCAGATTTTTATATTTTGAAGAAAAACGGAGTTTATGTATCGAATTTCGTTGCCATTCGAATGGCCATTTTGAGTCAGTGAAATCTTTTGTTGAACATTCATTCTCTGCAGGCGGATTTATATACGCATATTGTCTGAACAGGGTGAATCATATAGCCGTGGAAGCGCTTGGCGAGTGGTTCTTCAAATCTTTAAATGATTATCGTATTTATTAGTACGATTCATTGAACAAGTGAAGATAAAGTTTACGAATTTACAACTATATTGTGGTATTAGGATCACTGTTAAAAATGATTCTGAACACGAATATTATTTTCTGTTGTGCATTTATACTGCAAAGTCTGTTATACGTATCAGCAAATATCCAGTAAGTGTGTTCTTCTTATGATTCCTCATTGTTTTCATTTTTTGTAATTGATAAATATTGTAAATTTGTGAAATATTAATGTAGGAGATATAGTCTCAATTATTGTTCAATTATATAATTATTACGTAATTTCCTTTAAGCTTTAATATTTATAAGGGTGGCCCTAAGTCTGTCAGCCAAGGAAAACCGAAACCGCCTAATCCCTGGAAAAATGATACCATTGTGTTGACTAAATTTATGGATGTAAGTTGTTATTATACTTTCTATATTATATTAAAAGTTTTTAGTTATTATGAAAATGTGACAAGAGTGCACAAATATGTATGCAATTGAATAATGTAACAGCTATGTATAAATTAGTATGCATATTATATTGCAGTTTGAATATTATGGTACCATAAGAATAGGGCAACCAGCAAAGGAATTTAAAATGACTTTTGATACATCATGGGCTGACTCTTGGGTACCATCTGCACGATGTGGAATTTTAGAAATATCTTGTCGTAAGCATAATATTAATTATTGATGTAAATTGTAGAATGACTGAATAAGTGGTCTTTTGTTGTATCTTTTTTTGGTACAACTTGTAGTTAGAATATTATATTTTTAATGTCAGACCTCATTTTTCAATTTTTAGAATATATCAAAATTAAACTTTATGATTTCAGAACTTCATACAAGATATGACAGTTCAAAATCTTCTACATATCAAGAACAAGGATCTCCATTTGAAATAACAAATGCTAATTTTTCTCTCAAGGGTTTTACCTCTATGGATAACTTTCATGTACGTTAAGTAAAAATTTTGTTATCTTATAATCAATGTAAGGTAATAACTAATGAGTCGCAGCTTGTTTTGATCTTTATCATCACTCATTTATGTTTGTCATTACTGTTATTTCATAATTTAAGAAGCGTGTTATATTTTTAGCTTCCACATGTAGCAGTACTCAATCAAACTTTTGTGGAAATGACTCACATGTCGTGGAGGCCATTCTCATTTTATAAAGCTGATGGTATTATTGGATTAGGATTTATAGCACAAAGTCAGATTTCTGGATCCATACCGTTTCTTTATAATATGGTGAAACAAAAGGTCATACCATCACCATTATTTACAATTTATATGAATCGGTAATTAAAAAATTGTAATTTGCATTGAGTGCCAGTAATATTTACAAAATTTCATAGAAACATATTTGCCACAGAGATGAAACAACAAGTAAAGCAGGACGTCTTATATTGGGCTCTACTGAACGCAAACATGTTAAAGGCGATCTCACTACAATTCGCATCATTGACAAAACTCGCTGGGCCATCAAAATTGATACGTAAATATAATTTAATTTTTTTTATCATTACTTTCTTTTACTTAATTATGACAATGAATTATAATAGTTGATCTTTAAGAAATTAGTGTTACCAATTCAATTTTAGATTCATCGTCAACTCTACAGCAAAGAATCATGTGTTTTGCACAAATACCTGTAATGCCACCATAGATTCAAGTAGTCATAGTATTATTGGGCCAGCATCAGACATACGAAGAATAAATGACTTAATAGGAGCTAAAGAATTTTCTTTCCAGGGATATACAGTATACACGGTAGTATAATTTATAACGAGTAATGCGTAATCAAAGTATAACATAATGAATCTATACACTGTTATAATAAGTTTATGGTTTCAGGTGGATTGCAGAACATATGCAAAGCTTCCACATCTGGAATTTCAAATTAATGAAGTATGGTTCGAAATAAGTTCTAAATATTATATCGAACATGTGAGTCTATTTTTTTAATTATTAATTCGTTATATGATAATTGGAAAAAGAATGAAACACGTTTTTTGCTGTTAAATATTATGCCCATCGATAGTTTTAAAATAAACAATTTTATCTTTCAGTACAATTATCACAGTATTGACCTATGCTTGTCACCATTTGTACCAGGAGGCAATACTCTCGAATGGAGTTTGGGTGGAGCATTTCTTATGGAATTTTATACAGAATACGATATTAATGGAGGAGTAATCAGAATAGGCAAAACATTATTTTAAGAGCAGATATAGAATCTGTATAAGAAAAACTGCTTTCACAATTCATAATTTTAAATATTTTTACATTGTAATACCAGATATTTGGTTAAAATATTTTGTATACATAAATACGCCGTATATGGTAATAACATGTTTATAAAATAAAGGAAGAGCAACCTCAGCAAAATCAATTGAGAAAGAAATTCAACTAATAAATTGATTGTCCAAGAAATATCTGTTCAATTTTCGTGTTAGCTGGTGCTAGCCAATGACAGTACGAATCACTCAGAAGTAGTCACGTGAACGCGGCAATGATTCAACAAAACCGTCTATCCACTTCTTGAATGCGAGACTTCCCAGTAGAAGAGGACCAAAGAGCACAGTTAGGATCAGTTTCAATCGGCTCAAAAGACCTTAATTTTCGGGGCAGTATTTAATTAGAAAAAAACGAAATATTCCTTCAAGGATAATTATCGAGCGATGATGCGTATCGTCGTTTGGACGGCCTTGGTCGTGGCCTTAACTAATGCCGAATTGTTGAGGTAAGAGAGATTTTATTTTGGCAGCAATTAATTCTGTTACTTTATCTAATTCTTTTTTTTTATTTAGTTATTTATTAATATCGAATAGTAAACCATTTATTTGTTTCTTGAATGCTGAAACACATCACTTACATATGTGCGGTTTGGTGTATGTTTTTTTTTATTCCTGAGTATTTTTAAAACGTCCTTTGTATAGTTGCAACGCATTTATTCTCTTACTATCTGTCAGTGATAACAGGAAGCTGACATTTGCCGGTTGCTGGCAGAATTACGCCCATACAGATAGATTGTCTTATACACTGATTGCTATAAATCTCTGCATAAATGGATCTCAATTTTTAATTCAAAGATAACGTTTAATGGTCCTGCTTGATGTGACTGGTTGCAAACAATTGTTTTTGTTTGTTTATATTATACATTGCTTATCCTCTTAGTTGTAATACTACAATAAATTACTACAATTATGAGTCATTGATTAAGGTTAAAGTGTATTACCTTGAAATAAATTTAATTATATTTTATTATTACATGCTTCATTACAAGTTGCTCATTAAAATATAGAGTGAATTAATGTATATTAATGAAAGTTTATTGCTTGTCTTTCAAGAACTCCATTGTATAAGATACAAACCGTTCGAAGGAAGTTGCAAGAAGTTGATACTGAAGTTCAACAGGTCAAGCTTCGATATGGCGGCCCTAATCCAGAACCTTTATCAAACTATTTGGATGCTCAATATTATGGTGTCATTACCATTGGCTCTCCTCCACAAACATTCAAAGTAGTTTTTGACACTGGTTCATCAAATCTTTGGGTGCCATCCAAGAAGTGCCATGTTACCAATATTGCGTGTTGTAAGTTCTTAAAATATTGCTGACGATAATAAATAGTAAAATAGTCTTTTCAATGACAATGCTTTATTTTCAGTGCTTCATAATAAATACAACAGTAAAAAATCATCTACGTACCAACCAAATGGTACTGCCTTTGATATTCATTATGGATCTGGTAGCTTGTCTGGTTTTCTTTCTACAGATACTGTGACTGTAAGACGTTTTATCAGAGAAAATTTCTGCTTTGCTCATACTTATCTATATATTGTTTTAACTTATATGGAATTATTTTAGCTTGCTGGAGTTGATATTGTAAATCAAACGTTTGCTGAAGCAATAAGTGAACCTGGTTTGGCATTTGTAGCAGCAAAGTTTGATGGGATTTTGGGCATGGCATATGCTAGAATTTCAGTGGATGGTGTAACACCAGTTTTCTACAATATGATTAAACAAGGTCTGATCTCCCATCCCATTTTCAGTTTCTACCTAAACAGGTAAGATATAATGTCTTAAGTACAACTTCCCTATACACACTGTGTCAACTTTTTTCTCCCAAATTGCACAAATTTGTTAATTAGAGAATTAACTACTATAATTTATCTGCAGGGATCCATCAGCAGAAATAGGTGGAGAGATGATTTTGGGTGGATCGGATCCTGATCATTATAGTGGAGATTTCACATACGTTTCAGTTGATCGCAGAGCTTACTGGCAATTTAAAATGGACAAGTAATTTATTTGCTTTTCATATTAACATGCAAGTAAATATATTAAAGACGAAAATAACTTCATATTTTTACAAAGGATTCAGATTGGCGAAAAACTATTCTGTAAAAATGGTTGTGAGGCTATCGCTGATACTGGCACTTCCTTGATTGCGGGACCTGTTGAAGAAATTGAAGCTTTAAATAAAAAAATCGGTGCTACTCCAATCGTAGCAGGCGAGGCAATGGTAATGCAAATTTATCTAAGCAATTTAATTCCACATGCTTATCGAATTTGACTGAAGATGTTAGTGCTGTTTGCTAATTTATACATAGTTTTTTATTTCTTATGTCAAACTACTAATAATGATAAGATACTATTTTCTACAGGTTGATTGTAATTCTATTTCAAATTTGCCGAATATTGACTTCATTTTTGGTGGAAACAATTTTACCTTGTCCGGTGAAGATTACGTTTTAAAGGTGAGTTATCTTTTTACCACTGTATAAAGTAGAAATGCTTACTAAGATGAAATACCATTTATTATTTTGGATTCATTAACTTCAACATCTTTTTGCAATTATATTTATCAGTTATCCTTATCCTGTCTTTTCTCTTATTTATTACGCGTTTGAGGTCATTGCAAGTGATAATCACAGAGTAGTTTTGTTTTTGTCAAGCGTTGAATGTGAAACTTTGTAATTGTATGTTGTAAAATATGATGTAAGAATACTTAAGGAATACAATGCATAGATGGATAGTATAAATATATATTGACAGCACAGTATGTTTAAGGTACATGCTTTATATGAAGAGAGATAATTTTTATTAATTTTTCATAGATTAAGCAATTTGGCAAAACAATTTGCTTGAGCGGATTCATGGGTATTGATATTCCACCACCAAATGGACCGCTATGGATCTTGGGAGATGTATTCATTGGTCGCTTTTACACTGAATTTGACATAGGAAATAATCGTGTAGGATTCGCTGTTGCTAAATAAGTGTAAGTGAAACTTCCTCAATAAGGGATATTCTTGTACTCTTGTATTCGTTATGAGATTTTATCAATCCTAATAGTAATTAAGCGCTCCATTTTTTTGTTTTACTTATGAGTTAAATAAATAAATTTGAAATATTCAACAATATGTTGAGTTTACCCATTAAACAGTTATAATTTAAATCAGTTTTTTTTACAGAGTTTACCATAATCAAAAAGTGTTGCTTCTTTCTGAATGCATATTATGTCTGCGTGACTAATACATGTATATTTATGAACAAAAAGAAGTAAAAGACCATAGAGTTATAATGAATAATATAAGTATATTTTCTGAATAATGGAAAGGCGTAACTAGACCTTTGTGATAGAAATTGGATTGCAAGGAAAACATTGGATATAGTGTTCGTATTTACTGTTTTGTTCATTGCAATCGTATATTGAAAAAATATTGAAATAATTCAATACTGAAAATGTCAAATATTTGTATTTGTTAAATACATCAAATATAATTACTGTAAACTGCCTTCTACTGTTTAATACATGTTGCAATCTGAATACACTGGATTTATTGAATGTATTGGATGTAATCAAAACTATCTAACAATCTTTGCCACTATTGCAATTCTTAATTCCTTATCCTTTAGGTTGAAAGTATATAGTTATCTATTGGTGGTACCACTTGCCTAAAAAATCTTGTCCTAACAGAATAAATGAATAGTATCTATTCTTTTTTAAACGCATTATCTATTAAAAGATTGGTATGCCGATTTATGAGAATTAATTGTATATAACTATGTAATTAAACATATTCTGTGCTTGTGCGATTGGTAAGTTTGTCCTCTGTACTTCCATTAAATTATATTATGTTAGTGTTAACCCCTTGGTTTACGATTTATTTTCCAATAGCGCGCGCCTTATGACATGCAAATACATGTGTAAAATACAACTTGTTTAATTTTGTAAGTTGTTTGATAAATAATTACGAACGATTCATTAGTAAACAAAAAATATTTATTATCGTTTTGGCCCAATCGACCTACCACGAGTGTGGCTCAATATCGTAAGAAAAGGATTTGATCACTATCTTTCATTGTACTTATGATTTTTAATCTATGCTAATAAAGGTCACTCTGAATTATTACTAGTCAACGTTGGCTGAAAGTATTGACATTTAACTTCTTCTTGGGCAGTTGATTGTACATATTTTCCTTTGAGTTCTTGAATGATATGTCTAATACATGGTATCCAAACTCTGCAAAGTGTAGGATATTCCATCATCAGTGAAATATGAAGCTTATCTGCTGTTTCGGGATCTTTATTCTTTAATGCTGAAAAAGAAAAATATGATAAACTAAATAATTTATGTAATATGTTTATTGAACTAACCTTCTGACAAAGCTAAAACCTTTTCATGGATACATTCATTTAGTCCATTTTCCAGCCAAAGAGCTGTCATAGTATCCAGTCTCTTTCTAAAATCTTCAGCTTTTTCTTCAAATTCTTTGTGCTCATTGATCACAATCTCAAAGTTTGCTAGAGTCTCTGATAATGTTTCCTCTTTATTTAATTTTGCATTGGTATTATTGATCGTGGAAGGTATTTCAGATGGAGCTAATAATGATTGATGTGGTGCTGTTGTTAAAGTTATCGATTGAGGAGGAGGAGGCATATTTGCAGGGGGAGGAGGTAAAGGTTGATTGCAATCATAATTAGATATAGGTGGAGCTGAATTTAAAGGAAATGCAACTCTTTTATTTAGTGTTCTTTTCACTGGAGTACTGCATGAATTCTGTGTTGGAGATAACGCCCACTTAGGAGGATCATTCCATCCAGGATCATGAGCACTCGACAGCATCTTTTGAGTAGAAACTGCTTCATCTGTAATATAGAATATACACTTCTATGTTTTATTTAAAAAAAAACATTCTAAAAATAATTTACTAAATGTTTACATTAAAATCATAAGTAAATATATTTATAAGACTAAATTTAAATCTGTTGTAAACAAACCTAAGTTTAATAGATGCAAACAACTAATAAGAAGTGTAGTTAAAATGTTATTTATTACAAATTACGAAAATAGTACAATTCATTCCTTTTTAGTTAGTCTTCAAATACATAATGTTATTATTGAAAAAATCCCTAAAAACTAAATTTATATTCCTTGAACGATATTATTACTACCTTCAGTATTTTTTTCCATCGTGACAGGTGTTTCAACAATTTAGATAAGTAAGTGCAGATCAGATAACTGGGAATTCACTTTGTGAGAAAATGCATACGTCGATTATAATCGACTTGCGATGTACTCTAACAGTCGGTTATCGAGACTCGAATATACTTGATTTGAATCGATAGCTATTTTTGTGTTTGGTTCGGCAGTCATTCACATTTAATTCATTTTGAAAAATGTGTTTATATTAGTCCATTTCGTTAATGCTCTCTTAGAATACATGTTCATCATCAGCATCCACATAACCAGTTGTCTATAGTGGAACCATGAAAACGCAGTTTTCTGTCTGATGTAGCATCATTTTGTGGCTGAGCCAACTATTTGGCGTAAGCATTTGAGCCAAGTTCTTATTACGTCCATGAAACATCGATACATACTTATATTTTACCTTTAGTGAATTTATCTATTTTTGAGATTACGTAGCCGGGAATATTACTTTTCGGATAAGGACTTAACCTACTGTGCACGTTACTCTGCTGTGGCTTACTCTGCGCGACTGTCATGGTCTTTCCTTTATGTTCGTATAATAGTTCCCATACGTTTGTTTTGCTATCATTGTTTTCAACACTACATTTTTGTAGACAATATCATTGGGAATTTAAAAGTGCTTTCTTACCTTTTAGGGTCAATTTTTTTAAAGAACTCTCATTACAGGTATGTTTTGGTAGGTATGTACCAAATAATCATGAATGATTGAAATTGTTAATTGTATAATTTAGGGCGTTCTGTTACGTATAAGATATTAAAAACGTTTTTCAGTCATAATATATGGATTTTATTATTTTTTGATTGTTTATTATTTGCCTATAACTATTGGAATGTTATTATAATGGATTCAATATTAACTGTTAAGTTAGAAAAAATATGTTTATAAGAGAGTTAAATCATGTATAGTTTTCAGATGAAAATTTGAATGAACAAACAATATAATGCCAGGCAAAATAAAGGTGAGAATACTGGCAGGACGCAACCTGCCTGTAATGGACCGATCAGGAGACACAACTGATGCATATGTAGAAATCAAATTTAGCAATACCACATATAAAACTGATGTTTGTCGCAAGTCTTTGAATCCTCAATGGAATTCAGAATGGTATAGATTTGAAGTTGATGATGCAGAGTTACAAGATGAACCATTACAAATTAGGCTGATGGATCATGATACTTACTCAGCAAATGATGCAATAGGAAAAGTTTATTTAGATTTGAATCCTTTGTTATTACCTGGTGTACCTCCTCCTGTGAAAAACATTTGGACATTGGAAGCCACTATGAATTCTAGCATTGGTTCCCAAGGAGGTATGCGATTCCTAACATTTTCTATAAAATTGTATATAATTATTTACAACTAGAAAAATTTATTCTGATTGTCTTTGCAGGATCTGTTATGACAGGATGGATACCAGTTTATGATACAATGCATGGCATTCGCGGCGAAGTAAATATTATAGTCAAGGTTGAGCTCTTCTCAGATTTTAATAAATTTAGACAATCTTCCTGTGGCGTACAGTTCTTTTGCTGTAAGTGAAAATATTTATTAATATTATGAACCAATCTCAAATTTTGCTGTGTGCACAATAGAAATCTAACTAAATAATATAAACAATGATTTATGTAAATATTTTTACATCACATTTTAGCTCCAAATATACCATATGGTTATCACGCACAAGTTATTCATGGCTTTGTCGAAGAACTGATAGTGAGTGATGATCCTGAATATAAGTGGATTGACAAAATACGAACTCCAAGAGCATCCAATGAAGCAAGACAAACTTTATTTTTTAAACTTAGTGGCGAAGTTCAGAGGAAAATAGGGCTAAAGGCATTAGATCTTGGTGGTAATGCTGTCATTGGGTAAGTTAATTGAGAAAAAATAGAACTTCTCAGTATTAATTATTTTAATTGTAATAGATACTTGCAAAATTTTGATTTGGAAGGCGAATCAGGAATTGTAGTCAGAGGAATTGGTACTGCGGTAACTCTTGTGAAACTACACGACATTTCAAACATGCCAAATGATACTGTGGAAGAGTAAGTATTCTTATATAAAAGTATTTAGTACACATGAATTATTCAGATGTAAGATAGTGGATTATTCATGGCAGAACATATTCATTCAGCTATAAGACAATTTTCATTGTTTAAATGATAACTACTCCACATTATACATATAGAAGTAAATTATAACTTATGAACATATCGAACACTCCACAATAATGGACAATCTGGTTATTAACCTGAATCTTTTTGTCTGTCCTACCTGCATGCACTTGTGTAGACTTACACTGCTCGGTTTACCGTCTAAAGCTGAATTAGAAGGTTTAGAATCTGATGATAGCGTGCCTTTGCTTTCATCCTCTCCAAGTCACAGTCCGGTTTCAAGTTCAGTAAATCTAGCCGTTACCCAAGTCAGTAGTAAATTTCCTGGATACGGCAAATTACTTCCAAAGCATTCGCGACATATTATGAGAGTAACGCAGTACAGGTCACCCGGTTTCAATAAGGATAAGACGAGACAAATGTCTTTGCAATCAAATATATTATATTCAAAGAAGGACAGATCTAATGGATCAACTTTGTCATTGTCTGATGATGTAATTGATGATACTTCGGTGAGGTCTATGTTGGCTTTAGAAGATATGAGAGGAGAGCCTACAGGAAATAGATTTTCTAGAGGGCTCAAGAACTTACGTTACTTACCACAGAACGTCCTATCGAAGAAAATGACACAAATCAAAGTAAAGATATCAGATTCATTTGATGAAGAAAGTGACTTGGATAGCACCTATTCTAGTACATGGTCGATCGGAGGTTCCGATTCTGCTAAATCTTCTATCATGGATTTGCACCCATCTGGCAAGAAGAAAAAATTGACGCATAAAAGAAGCACTGGCGAGGGAATAGCTTCTTTACTGATTCGATCAATTCACAGCGGGCTTCCCTTGGACAGCGTCAGGGAGGATCGAGAAACGCCGACACCGTCGCCTGTCAATTTCATGGTAGACCCTGGAGAATTTGTTGAATCACAGAAAAAACACCGAACAATCTCTGAGAATGATAATGAGCATGAAATTGGTGCAGAATCTATTCAACAACATGACAGCAAGCTTATTCTTGATGGTAGAATTCATGTAGTCGATTCAAAACCAGATTTGAAGTATGATGACGGTCATTTGATACCAATGATTTCTTCATCTGAAACGGACACGTCTACTTCAGATGATGAACCTTCAGAATCGAGCACTAATTATAATATTCTTGATGATTCTTCCTCAGTGATCGACCCAGGTTCACCGATTATGGAAAAATACGGATTGAATTTTCAAAAGCATTCAGTCGCTCTAACACAAAACACTTCTGCAGTAACATCTGACTATCCACTGTATCGTGATCAAAAGGATTTTGAAGATGTCAATACTGACGCTTCGATTCAAGGTAAATTCTCTTCCGAAGTAAGTGCCGGCACATCGACCGATGTAACTTCATCTAGTGCTGATTCTGACATAGTATATCATGGTATTAATTGTCTTGAAGAGTCAGAATTACTTTTGCATAAAAAGACAGAAGAATCTGGTTCATTTATTACAGAAAATAAGGATAATGTCATCGATACGATTCAAGCAACAAATATAGCTTCAGCTATTTTATTGGCACAAAAAGAATTTTCAATAAATGCCACATCTAATTTAAACAGCAATACTCTTTCATCATCTTCGAATACAATTGAAGAGAAAACTGAAGTCCTCGAGACACAAAAATCCATTCATGTTCTTGATGATTCTGTACCATTAGCAATGAGTACACCAACGGAAAGTAATGCTGAAAATAATGCATTTTTCCCAGAAGGAAATCCATATTCGTCGACAAACTTTCAACGATCTATAAGTTTAAACGAACAAGAGATCAATATTTTTAAATCTCCTTCCATATCTAGTTCTAAGTCTGAATTTGAATCATCGGAGGCTGATGAAGATAACAAGACTGCGGTGCACTTAGATCCACAATTTAACAAATCCGCGAGTTACTCAGAACCGTCCGGCAGTTCTACGCCCATCATCGACGCAACTTCTGCTAAAGATAAAGAATACAAGAATACAAGTGTCTTGTCATCTGAATTAAATGAAGAAGGTGGAATGAGTAATATAACAGATTCTATGAATGATGACAATCATTCAGTCAGATCTGAAACTCCACCGACTCCATTACTTTTGGTACGTCCTACATCTCTCGTTGTTGATGATAATAAAAATCTTGAGATACATGGTCGCAAGGAAAAGTCTCCAAAGAGGGTGGAACGAACAGATACAGTGATCTATAAAGGACCATCAAGAGAAAAAGAGAAACCAATAATGCCAGTAGCAAACAGGGACATCACTGGCAAAATTGTATCAGCCCCACCGGTTACATCTACGTCAACAAAGTCCGTACCACACATCGTAATACCTTCGGTAGAAACAACCAATTGTCATTTACAAGTACCAGTTACAGATATTCATATGAAGAGTGCGTACACAGAAATAACTACACCACCAATATTCATTGCTTCGCTATCAAATTCAGTGCAAAGTCCATTGAATGATCCAAGAATAACTGATATCTTGAAACAAAAATTTAGGCGTCACTGTATGCTTGATCTCATAAGAACTATTGATACCAAAATGCTGGTACAACCTTCTCACCACGAAAAGAAAGATTCAATAAGAAGTAGGCGGAAGAGACGAGAGAAATTGAACATACCACCTTCCCCGGAATCGATACACAAGACAAGATCACACAGAAGAAGATCAAAATCAAAATCACCTGATAAAACTTCCCACAGTCATATCAGCAATTCACAATCCTATTCCAATACTACTTCTGCTCTAGCTGCCCCAGCTAACATTTCATCAAGTAAGCATGTCTCTGCTTTCAATAACGATTCTCACCCCATAGAGTCTATCGTTGCAGTAGAACCCAACTGTAATAAATCGGTCAATCACAATGTATCCGAAGATAATGAAAGCTCCATTAAAAAAGTGTATAACGATTTTTATACGTCTCACTCAAAGGATAATATGTCTTCAAAAAATGCTTTAGAAGACAACGAGGCGCACGAAACTGCTGTCCAGGTTCTTGCAGTAAAAAAGGATATCCCTTATAACAATAATGTTAATTTAGAATTGCGCGATTTAGAATTGCGAAATACTAACGGTGTGTCTTTACTTGAGCCAAAGAAACATGAAATGGCTGTGTATAAAAGTCAGAGTGCGTATAGTTTAAGAGAAGTGCGAGGAGATGCTAATGAAATAACTAAAACCACTAACGCTGCTAATCATACTGACAATTTGTGTGTGCCCTGCTTGCCTCCGTTTCCCAGACAGCCAGATGAGGTTTCCTCGAGTCCGGCTAATCCACTGTCAGCTATTCCATCCGCGGTGGTCACAAAACTGTCAAATTCACCGGTTACCAAGACGAACATGGCAGTTCCAATGCATAGAAGATCTAGCGACTCGGATCTCAGCATCACACCAAAAGGTAAGCATTTCGTGTTCAAATCAACTATTTTATTAGTTTAGCATAAAGAACAAACCAGTAATTGAACACATACTAATTGTTTTCCTCTTTTTATTGTTTTTGATACATTTCATATTTTCTTGTAGTACGTATTAATTATTGTTATCAAATTACAATTTTATCGTACATAAAGGTGTCAGCACTATTCATATATTGTGCAGTATAGTATTTTACACTATGTATTTACACTGGTTTACCAATTTTAGGTGTAACGCTTCTGTTGAATTCGTAGAAATATATTAGAAGATTGCACCGTTATTACTGATAATTGCACATGTAATTTAATTAGTGTTATGGGTAATCGTTTAGTATCTTATATATAATACTTATTAAAACATTATAAAGTTGATCCATTTTATAGATAAATAACATTTGAGGATTATTACACTTTTTCGTGGAAATCGCAATATTTTCAATCATTTTATTTTTGTATTTGATCTTCACAGGTTGCTCATATCCAGCCTGAACTTTTGCATGACTATAGCAACATACTATTTTAATACTCAATGGCATTCAACATTTCCAACGAATCATTGACATTGGTCTATCATGTAAATTCTTTCAATTTTAAAAGTAATTCAATATATGTCTCCCAATAATATCATCATGTTACAAATTTAATAACTGGGTTACAAAATTAAAAACTATAACTCATTATCTTATTTTGTTTATTAGAGCTGCTATTCGAACTGAAAAATTACAGGCTCTGGGCAATGAATATTTTCTGGTAAATACTGCCAGTTTATATATATATATGGAGAGGCTTATGTATTGTACACTCATGGAGAAAATAAGGGCATTGTATATACACGGGATGTCATCTTTGTAAATTATAATTTTCATTTAATTTTTATGGAAATTATGTTTCTTTTTTCTGTTCCATTTGCATTGTTTCTCCTGCCAGGATTTTATAAATTCTTTCGTAAACGTGAGTACTGACAGGAAAATGCTGATGTTCGATGTTCTGTTTCGTCGTCGTCGTCATCATCATCATCACCTAACTCCTCCACCATTTGATTGGTGTCACATCTTTGTCATAAGTAATGATAAGCGTTACAACCGAAAGACTTAATGTTATATTCATCATTATTATACAATATTCAATTTCTAATACTTATAATCAATTTATTCAGCGTTCTCGACGACAGTAATAAACCAGTAGGAAAGTAACATTGCAGAAGTCTAATTATATTCATGTGGTTGCAACAAGAATTACATAGATATATTGCATGATCCGTTTCATATCTGAGATCAATTGTAAACTGAATATGGTAGATACATAGAAACATTATTTTTTATTTTTATAAGCATTGTTTTATGAAGAATTCGATTACTCGTTCACATACCGTCAATATTTTTTTTCATAAATTTTATAATGAATGTTCTTGGTATTATTATTCTCGACTAATCATGTGATTGTGTATTCTTGTTTTCCCTCGCGTGTAATATACTAACAACTTACTATTGCATATAATATTTCCCATTCTCATATTATATTACCAAACGTATTGAAGTATGCTACAGGCATCAATATGAAAAAGACTTATATTATTGAAATGATGCGAATATACAAAATTGAATTATAATGTACATTGTCATGGGCATGTTAATTTAAACCATACGTGTTAAATATATTATTTGTATATTTCCGCAGATGTCGAGGAATATTTATTATATGAAATGTCTCATCTAATGTCAAAGCATACCGTACAATCAATAGTAATATAAAATATATATTTAAATTTCCTTATTATTATTGCATTAAGGGATAAGGTCATAGCATAATTAAATATACAGAAAGCGAAGGAGTATTTCTAAAACGTATATTGAGTTTATGCCAGATATTTCGCTGTCTGCGGAAAACTAATGTATTCGCATATATCGTATACAAAAATTAATCCATCCAATGTACTCTAGGTAATTCATTAACAGGAAGCGATCGATCAATGGGAGGGTACTTGAGACCATCTACTGCAGTTATAAGGACTATGAACCAAGATGCACTGGAGATGCTCGAATATCCATTCATCACCATGCAGCAGTATCCTTCTGGCTTTATATTGCATATAGGTAAGACGTGATCTACCATATGCCAACGAATAAAGTATCACTTTGTAATCTTTGTGACCATTTTTTTTAAAGCTGGCTTAGTAAGTGCAAGATCGGTGAAGTTGTTAGAGAGGATAAGCAATTTAGAAGAACCCGAAGGTCGTGATTCATGGTGGACTGAAATAAGAATGGAAGTACGATCCCATGCACGAGCGTTAGCTTGCAATGTAGTGATCGGTTACAAGGAAGAAACCAGTATATGGTAAGAATAGAAATTAAAGTCTTGATAATATTTAAACAATAATGATAATGTGGAATGATACTGATTTTTAGTGACGACGTCTGTGTACTGAGTGCATCTGGTACAGCAGCTGTAATAAATCTTCATAGTTCAACTCAAGATCAAGATAATGCAATGATTAATCGAGTCCAACAAGGACTCATGACAACTTCTATGGATTTAGATCGTGATAAAGTTCAGCAAAAAGTGATCAATTTGAAAAATGAGAAAACTGATGAGATACCTGCGCATTCGCAGCAAATTAATTCAATGCATGGGAAGGCAAAGCGTCCATCGGAGAGCAACGAGAATGAAATTCCTCACATTCTTAACCAAAATGGCTGTAATCTGTGTCATCTTCCTTATAACGAAGCTAGCGTTCCCTTTAGAGTTGATATGTCAAAATGTGCCGTTTGTAGACGCGCTAAAGTGCCGGATGTATTATTTACCACGATAGAATTGCCCGAAAATATTCCTATCACAGGCAGAGGATGTTTTATTCAATCAACTGTATGCAAAAGTAAAAGAGATCTACGAGGGGAATTGAATGCCAAAGAAATATCGGATTGTCTGCCATTTTTGGAATATGAGCTTCATAGCTTACTGTTGAATAAGTTAAAGGTTAAAGGCATGAATGCTATCTTTGGTCTGAAAGTACAAGTTTCTATTGGGGAGAGACTAGTGGTCGGTATGGCTGTAGGTACCGCAGTTTATTTAACTCCTCTTCCTATACCTTCTGTACCTCAGATTGCCTCAGGAAATTCGTGGCATAATGAAGAACAATTGGCAGAAATTCAAAAAAAGCTTGTCGAGACTATGAAAATGAATCGAGAGTTTTATCAACTGAAGTCTATTGCAGTAAGTAAGGATAATATAACTTTAGTGGATTTAGAATAGATTACTTTATTGTTTTAACCTATTTTGAGAAGTATCTATTTATTTTCGACAGGATATTGAGAATGCAAAACCGATAACCACATCGGACACCGATGATTCTGATGACGAGTTGCCTGACTTAGATCTAGGAACTGGATCGAAGGATGCCTGTGTACTAGAAGTGGATGATGTTGAGGATATGGATAGAATATCTCTTTTAATGGATGAAAGACCGCCAGTTGATTTTCATGTTGTCAATACTCAAACAATTCCTGGCTTGGAAGACCTTGAGATTGTTAGAAATTTACAAATGTTCACTCAAGTGTCGAGAGCGAAGATACCTGCTGGACAATTTGCGTCAATGCCATCCAAGTATTTTGCTAGGCTTCTTCAGGTACATACATAGTTATTGTCTAACGTGAAAACTCCCAATTGGCATGTCATACATTTTTTAATTCATTTTTAGACTGTCTATTTTAAACTTCGACGCATGGTTCCGTGCGCACTTTGTGACCTGCAATTTAAAATAGCACTTCCTGAACAAGATGAAATTCAGCTCTCTGTAGTTGGTATGGCTTTGGGCTTAGGGGAGCCAACCAAGATGAATAAATTCAAACGAAAACCTGTTACTCATTCAGCGAGTAAAGATCAAGTTAAAAGACTAGGTAATTCTTTATTCAAGTTATAATGAAAATAATACGAATTCAAAAGAAAAAAATTGCGCAACAGAACATATATTTGGTACTCCGTTTAGACGACAGCGATATGATATTCAGCTTGGATGAAGATCATTCAGAGAGCGCAGCGAGTGGTTCCGACGCTACGCAAAGCACTTCGACAACTTTCCCTTCAATCTCATCAACCTTAACGACAGCTACTTCTGCGCAAAAATCAAGACCACGTTCTCCGCTAAGAACAAAATCCTACATGGTGCACAAACACAAACATGTAAGCCCAAATTATGCTTACGAAAAAAAGCGACTTTCTACTCGTTTATTCATGCAGTGTTGGTTATAAAGTGTCAAACTACTGTCGCAGGTTCCTCTGAAAGAAAGATACGGGGTTGACATAACGCCGCTCTCTTACTTGCCTGGCGGGAAGATCGAGAGGTACCTAGGAAACCTGAACTTCTTCTTTATTAGGGAAAGCACATCTATCAGAGAAGTAAACATTAATCCTTACGAATTTTTCTTACATTACCATGTTTATAAGTCCCATAACCTTCATACATTGCATATTGTCTTTCTTTCAGAACGGTGGATTGAGTGGTTTTACCCACAGCTTTGTCACGGAAGTCTTAGCAATCGTGCGAGCACATATTACAGCTTTAGGTGGTAACGCAATGGTCGCTTATTTCATGACACAATGTGTTCTTCTTCACAGTCCCCACAAGAATCAGGTAAGAACTTATATTTCTTTATTGCTCATTTCTGTAGCTTATAAAAGCTTTGTCTATAAGACCTAATTTAGTACCCAGCTTGTTAACCATCTTTGAGCGTTATCGCCGCTGGTATACTCCGAGTAAATACTCTGTCGAACTCTGAAGTAGAACCGCAAATGGATTGAACCAAAGTTGGCACACAAATACTAGAAATACTTTGGTACTCCAGACAAACAGTGGTAAAGGTACCCGATTAAATAAACCGTTTAACCAGCACGTTTGACCTTATGAACTTTATTTAACGAGGACTATGAACCTTTATATTATATATATGTTTTGACGGTACAGTAAATGTAAATTTGTATTCACTAAATCACCCACAAACTTTATATGACTTTGTTTGTAACTTGTAAATTAGTAGTTGTACTTCAGACATTTCTGCGTCCATTAACATCACCTTACTCATTACATTCGCATCTTCTCGTTATTTAGTCATTTAAACTTTCCTTGCGTAGTATAATAGCGAATCTTTGAGCTTGAAGTTTATCACAAAGTCAAACCAGCACTTTCAAAGAAACGTGACTTCTATAATAAAAATATAATTGGGTAGTTGCTCATATTGCTAAGCGTCAAAACGTCAACTAACAATCACGTCATTCGCTTTTTCTCTCATAATACAAAAAAACATAATGATAATAGGTAAATTGTGCTGGAAGCAACGACGCTGTATTTCTTTCTTGTACGTTTTATAAAGAGTTATGATAGGAATGAAGTTTGACATAAAATAGAAACAGGAATAATCGACTTCCTGTGCCAATCTAAATAGGAGATAAATTAAAAAAGTTGTCGGCTAAAACAGCGGAAACGCATTTGAATTTACTGTTGCTGGGGGATCATGGTGCGTTTAGTATAAAAAATCTTGTATTTCTTCATGAATCGTTGCTCTTATTCTACGATAATCGTGAAACTACGAGCACCGAGGGTGAATTGTTAGTATATCCTGAGCTCGGTCGTTGACGGATATTTTTTTTTATGCGTGGAGATGACGTTTCAGGAAAATGAAAGAATTTCGTATCCTAAGGGCAATTATCATTCACGCTGCTGCTGACGCAACTTCGATCTTTATTAAAATCACTGTTACGTCGAGGATATTGTTTTTAATTATCTTATTTCATGTAACCTCCTTATTGTTTCTTGGAAAATATTCAGTATATATAATCAGCAGCCCTGCTTAAGATGACGTGCTCAAGATTTTTGACTTAAAATAATGCAAAAGAATTTTGTTATACCTGGAGTTTCTTGTCTTCATCTTCGAAAATTCTAACAATTTTTTGAAATATATGAGAAAATATTTTTTTCTCGTGGCCTCTTCTTTCTAACCAGAAAAGTGATTTACCTCCTTGACATCCCATGAATTCTTTGTATATGCCTTCGTGGTATTATATGCGGTTTACTTCGTAAGTCTTTACTTGAACGTAAACTAATAACCTCCAGTCAACTTAGGATAATATTTCATTGAATTAGGAGAAGGTTTTTAATATGAACACATAGATATGTATATAAACGAATTCTTTATTCTTTCATTCGATTCATTCTATTCATTCGACTACGTTAGAATTCATTATTTTATTATGAACTGTTTGGAGAATCTTTTTCACACGGTTTCAATTGCATTCTTAATGTAACACATTCAAAGTAGTTCGATCATTAGATACAATCTAAGGTGAAGATATACATTTTGTATATGTTATAGGTAATAACTTAATTTCGAACTATGATAAATTGTAACGATTCATGGCTCGAAATTGAAAGTTTAAAAAAAAATATTTTCACTAATTTTTTAAAAATTTTTTATAGGAATTTTTTACTGACTAACAATATAAATACCTATTACTATAATGGTTATGATGATCGAACCACCTTAATGAAAATTGTCAGTACTTCATGAAAAGAAAAATTGCAATAAGGGCATTATGTCATAAAAACAGGAGGATGAAACAAAAATAAACGTATTGAAGATTATCTGTGTAAGTTTAGAACGTTGGACGTGGAATAGTGCCCAGTTTTATTAGATCCTCTGAAATTCAATTCTTCCACGTTGGATTGTCATCGTATACAAAAAGGAAGTAGACGTCGAAAATAAAAGCCAGAGGAAGTTGAGCGAGCGAGAATTTCCATAATTTTTTTTCTTCTTTCGCAGAGCTATCAATGTTTATCAAATTCAAATATTTCTTATAGAATTTTTTGGGAATCGTTTACACCACAAATTATAAAATTTTTACTAATTATCACTTTTGAAAACCATTCAATTAATACAATTACCGTATGAACAAATTACATAATAATAGTTGTCACCTTCAAGACACATATCCTCATTAGCTTTTACGTATATCAATATTTGTTTGGTAATACGAAAATGGTAACTTCATAATATACTCGTTAAACATGTGTAATATATATGATCATACGTGGATATACAGTATGGAGAGGTCATTTCCGAGTATTAAATAAGATTTTCAAATATATCTACAATAATTGATAAAATGGTAAACGTACGTACGAAAGTTGTACCAGACATATTTCTTACGGTATAATAATACACAAGTGTCATGTGCGGGACTTATTACCAGACGAAGGTTATCGTTTCTAATAAGAAGCGTAGCAAGCGCCAAAGTATAATGCTCTCACATGTTCTCAAAGTTTACCGCCGCATGTTCGTAACATTGAAGTTTTCAATTGTCAGAGTTCAATTGCGTTTATCGACGTTAGATACATTTACCAAATTGAGATTACAAAGAGCAATGAATACAGATCGAAACGTTCTATCGCTAGTGATGGAAGCGACGCTATACGGTCGATCGTTTTCCATTAAACTTTATAGACAGCCCCACTTTGATGCCCTTAGCTGCAATAACGAACGCAAATTCAAAATTGATTCTTCGATCCCGCTTGGCTTCTGTCGAACTTTCATTTTACATAAAACGAAGTCGCTTTAAGTCGTTTGAAAATTTGTCGACGTTAATTTTTTAGCTGTTATAAATCCCTGATACTTTCCTTATTGGGATGGAAAACTTGAATTTATATCAATTTCACCGAAATTTTCCATTACGTAAGTTTCGTTGCGGTTCTTTGAAATCATCAAGTAAAGGTCTGACGGGTGAGTGGTAATTAATTCAGGATTGGGTATGGAAAGGAAATGACGTAACTCGACCTTTATGTGTTTTAGATATATTGATATTCGATTTTAGTTAGTAAGGCTTCCGTTCTGCATGATCTAATGGTTTATTTCTACTTAAATAGAGAGTCACGCCCATTTCAGTATATCTAATGTTCGAGTAATAACTCGAAGACTTATATTGAGCATTAATTTCGGCTGTGAAGCTCTGGCTATAATTGGCAATTAGTGCCACTCTGCAGGGAATGTCAATCGCCAGCGGCTGACGTTCCATTGCGACCTAACGCGTTTATACGTTCTACTATGAGATCTCTTAGTACTTGACGGTTGCGTCCTACGCGTTAAGACGCGTAGGTACCAGTCGTTAAAAGTTTATGATATTGAGAGAGTGTAGTCTTGACTGGCGAATAGTACCCATCAATTTCCTTCACACCACGGACGACTTGACTTATTGTTAGTATATTTCGGTTGGTAATTTGTTTGACGTATTTTCTTTCAACTGTATTTTATTTGCACCTTCCGTTGAGATTTTGCGAATATTTGGTATCACAGGCACTTTTACGATATTTTTTAGCTATCACGTGCAGAACATACGAAAATCGCTTATGTAATTGTTATTGCTAAAAAATAAGCGTGAATACGTACGGAAAAAAATGTCTGTATCAAGAATCCCATACGAATTGGTCGACTTTAAATTCATAGGAGACATTAAGTTCCAGATATAGATATTACAGTAGTATTTACAGATATCTGATACTTTTGGTTTCTGATTCGGAAAAATCTTCATCGTAATTTGTATTCATATGATTGTATCTAAATTTGTTGAAGAGTCAGGGTTAAATTTTACAGAAGAAATAAGCGTGTGGGTGAAACAGGTTCGGTTTGAAACGTTGACCAGATCCATTTTGAAAATTTTAGATTCGCGAAATTAATGTTTTTGCAATGACTTAAACATTGGTTGTGGTTGAAGTTCAAAATGTCATGTCTCGTGATGCCTCTGATATTTTTAATTTCTTACCGTTCGTGATCTACAGTCTTATTCGAGCGAAATGCGTCAGCTGAAATTAGTCTGTTCATTTGATTTCTACAGTGGAGTCAACCTCGATTGATTGTACTGAATAAATCTAGATGTGATAAGACACGTGAAAAATTTAAATTGAAAACTATTCATTGTAGTTCGTTCAACTCGCAATATTTTTTTCGAGTCATTTCCATACGTCAGCAACAATGATTATACGATTCTAAATTAGAATGACAATTACCTATTTTTAGTATACGCACATTACAGGTTATTGGTTGGTCGTTAGCTAAATTTATTTTAATCTTTTCCTGCTTTGCGTTTTATAAAGATAATTAAAAAATTAGATCCAACAAACGACCCACGTTCTCGCATTCATTACGACAAACAAGCATTCAATCCTCAAAGGCATTTGTCTCTCCTTTTCGTTAGTCACTAATTACAAGCAGGTCATGCCTTCCGAAGAATGTTAAAATATATCCTTTTTGATCTCCTGAATTATTCCGGAATCAAGGTAAACGACGCCATTGAACTTTCAATCATTTGGTCTCGTTCACAATGACGTTTATACGTATCTAATTGGCATTCATAGGCAATAAAAATACAAAATTAAATAAGCAACTTATCCCGTACCGTTAAACAAAGTTTAATTTTAAAAAGAAACGATATAAAATTACCACTATACTTTTTTGTTCCTTGATACCTATAATTTTTTTAGTATTATTTATAGCAATTGACAATAATAACAATCCTAAGGAATTAAGCTCGGTGCTAACGTAAGCCTCATAAGTAAATACCAAAGTTACCTATTTAATACCCCCGAATCGATTTATTGATTCGATACGTTTGACCACATAATGTAATTGCCACTGGCACGAGTATTAGTCGTCTTTAATGGAAATCTTTATAAATCCTCAAACTTATCTAATCACCTTACGTCTTATATTGTCCTTTATTACGGCCATAATACAAGCAGTTTAGACCAAGTAAAGGAAACTTTTCTTTTTCCTCCTTTCATTTCTATTCTTTCATATTTCGCACGTTATTCGAATTCACCTTAGCCAACTTGATTTATTTTTCTTTCACGCTTTGCAAGGATTTCACCGAAACCGTATCCCACTCCATCACCAATTCCCATTATTTTCCTTGCGTGAAATTTACTTTCAGCTTTCCCACCATATTGTATCGGGTGACAATCCAGAAGGCATTATAACTGTTTTGCGCATTGAATCATATGCTGGATCTTCTTTTGCAACTGATATTGTAACGTATTACGGTTAGTCATGTTGAGATATCTGATATGTTTTATGTGTCGTTTTGACGTTTTTTATCTGCGCTCTGCAAATATATTTTTCTCAAATATATCTCCTGCTATATCTACGTGCAGTTCTTTTGCATTGAAGGATGAGTAATGATTGAATACGTAAGCTTAATGTATGGGGTCCTTCTGTGGCGCATGAATGTTTATTTTATATTAGATTAGAATCGAACGATGATGAAACAATTATTTATTATTCAGATTGAACGCGTTAATTTAATAAATTTTCGGGCAATGCGTTTTAGAGTATACGATATGGCATATTGTTATTTGTAGTCGATTAACAAGCAAAATAATTTTAAGTGACAGATGGAGAAATACAAAGGATATAATTAAATTTCACATTGCTAATTATTTCTGGCCAATGGTAACGTGTGGCAAATCAATCGAAATCAATTAAAAGACTATTATTTATCTTCAGCAAAAGAGCATTGGCAGTTTGGAAATTTTACTACGGGAGTCCCTAGCACGAGCCACGTGTTCCCATCTGTCACTTTAAGCTACTTTACACGTGGGTCGACTATATAGCATGTCGAGCACTCTACGTTTTCATTTACACGAGTAGCAACAAACATTAGAGATTCAAAATGGGTATATTCAATGTTAATTTACCTTGTTTCTTTACTATATAATACTTTGAAGTTAATTTATTGTTATTCCATGAGATTATTGTAACGAGGGTCAGCTGGAGACCTATGGTCCTGTACATTAAAGTCAATGAGAACAGTATTACTGACTATTAGAATGCTCGAGCAAGTATTACACCCTCGAAATCGTTTTAAGAAAAGGAAGGCCTTTCTGACAACAGCCGAGTAATTCTATTTTAACAAAAGAAGAGCTGCTAAGTCGGCTCTACAATGTCTGTCAATGCCAAATCTAATTTTCCACGTGTCTAACCTGGAACAAATCTCATGGGATTGGATAGCGTGATAGGACGCTGAATGTACCTGGACCATATAATAGATATATTCCTTTTCGTGTCTCTATACCTTTAAAATGCACCACAAGTTATTTTATATTATTCGCAAAAATATATAATCCACTCGTAAGACGAGTTGTCAAAATAATTTCATGAATTTGATGAATTTTTACATCCTCATCTTTATATGGTTCTTCTGTATGTCCTACACGTTCGTAATAATTATTGAGAAATTAAAAAGCTTTTTAAAAATGACTCGCTTTATGTTTCTATATTAAATTTTACTTGGTAACCTCACATATTGTCCATTAATCATCCAAAGATTCTTTTATTAATGTATACATACTGTGTGTGTTTCACCTGACACCTCCTCTAGTCGGTGTATTACGAATGTACTCACAGCCTGGCTTCTCGCCTTTTTCTGTTCCAGGGTCAATGTTTAATTAACGTGGGCGGAGATGTTGTATCCGTTTCCTATTTTGGCAACGAGAGGCATTTGGGAAATTCGAATTGCTGACGTCAACAGCCACCTCACTCTGCACCATCGTAAAAGATCGTTTTCAAGAATTCTACGCAAACTTCAATTTCCTCTTTGCGAATGTTGAATAAATTTACTTTGGTTGATCTTTCACCTCGGATATCCTCTTACTCGATATATGATGTACGCTCGTATAACTTCACGTTCAAAGATAAATACCGACTGAGATGATTCCTGATATTGCCAGCCGTTTTAGGTATACAAGCACCCCTTACTCTATTAGTGAAAATTCCCCATGGGGGTTCCAATAATGACTGATAGATATTAGTACCTATGTATTTATAGTCATTCGATGAACTGCCATCTCAGTCGTATCCGATTTTATTTTCGTTTCAATAATCATGCATTGATATTGTTAGTGTATATTGATCATTGATATATTAAATTTGTTTAAATCATCGTTGAGTATAATACTAGTCTGTTGCGATTGGATGAGCTTTGAGAACTCTTTGAGAAATTGAAGTGAATTTGTTTTACATTGTTATGACGGACACAGGTTAGATATTTGCGTAGATATTATACTTGTTTAATAGAAAAATACAAAAATTTTAATGTAACAATTCTATTTCGAGCGTCACGGACAATTTTGAAAAACACCGCTCAAGGGGTATGTCCATCATACTTGGACCGATCTCTTAATTTTAGCTTAAGGTATCGCAAGGTTACTTAATAGATTACGAGACCGAGAATAGATACATCCGAATGTGTACATCTAAAACGTTTGTGAACATCAGTGCAATGAATGATGCCCCACATCATAATTGTATCAGTATTACTTATAATTGTTACGATTATACATTTTTGTAGGTTAAGTGCGCTTTGCTCGGTTCCTGAGATAAATTACTAATTAAATTAGCACACACGTCATCATTGAGAAACGTAACAGCTCGCTTTTTATTTTGGATACGGAAATACTTATCGATCCTTCGCAATATTTGATAAAACAAAGCTCAACTATAATTCATTGGTACTTTACGAGAGATGTTATTGGTATATTATATATTTATTTAGTATTTTTTGTCATTATTTTATGAAAGAAAAAAAAGCGATTATGTAATTACGTCTCGGCTATAAATCTTTTACATCATGAAAGAACAATCATGCGACGATACTGTTGATTCGAAGGAAGTTTTAATGCCTTATCAAGAGCCAGTACTTTACTAGACTAAAAATAGATTGCAAGTTCAGGTTAGAATATATCAATATTATCATAACTTCCTGACACATTTTATTTATGACAAGATATAAGCGATTAGTCATGAATAATTCTTGAACTGCGAAAATTTCGATGCCAAAGTGTATGTTGATCCTTACAGATAACGATTATCTGTAATTTCAAGGACCCTCAATCTTTCTTTATAGATTACTAACATTATACGTTCTATAAATATGATAAAAATGACGTGACACTTGGTATATATTAATTTATTTGTAAAACGTGATCTGGACGTACGAGATTCTTTGGTTATCCATAAAAATGTTAACAGTCCCTGAAAATTGATTGTGTCCTTTTGTTATACCTTTCACAATTCCTGTTTGATTTCTTTAGAAGAATATAGTCACGCACAAACGCTTTGGTATCGTCGAAGTACTGTATTTTAGTGTCAAGATAGAGTCAAACGAGCTATAATAATCCACCTGCTCCATCTCCATCGCTGGCGATAATAGAGAGGAACGTAGAGTACTATTCTTCAAGAAATAGCTTTTATGCGATTTGCGGGATACAAGTCAAAGACCATCGATATTGGCGATAATCTAATAGAGACTTTGCACAAATGCTCAGGTATCGTAGTTTTAAATCTCTAATATTTAAAAGTAACAATAAACGCGGCACGAATAATTATAACACTGTAGTAATACGTTTGGGGCGATTTTCATGCAGCTACAATTGTTAAACATCGAAATGTCACGAATGTTAAGCGCTACTCAATATTATACAGTATACAAAAGTTGAGCCAAACCATCAGTTTCACTATAAGGAGCTGTTTGGGTGATAATTTAAAAGAGTCCATTGACGATGAACTGATATCCTGGTTTGGCTATAATATCAGCCGTTTGTTTGTGGGTTTAAAGTTGTACAAAAATATATTCTATGTATATAATATTATTTTATCGTTAACTGCTTATTGTATACCTCCTTACTTTTTTTGGATTGTCCTTATCGAATTTCCTAAGAAATCTCCTTAATATAATGCTGAATAGACGATTTTTATATCTGTATTTTAATATATGATATTTTTTTATTTGTGTCTGGTTATCATAACGACCAAGATAACGTTGTGTCTGAAAATTCATTCGAATTATTAATCTGATATTTTCTATTTATGAGGGGGGGGGGGGTTGATTAATGATGTCTAAAAATAGTCACAGTTAATTTCCTGTTAGCTTATTATGTCCAGGTACAAATGATCGATATTTTTTCATGATCGATATTGATCATATAAGCAATTGTCTAGTACTTAATCCAATCAATCATATTCTATTATAGTTTGTAGTATCAGAGAAAGTGCCAAATACGTGGAGTAACCTTATATGTTTTACTATGATTCTGTACCAATTTCTATTTGAACTAGGGTACAAGGTTACGGCTTGGTGAGTGTATACATTTTTGACGAACAGAGGTCAATCGCTTGTTACATAGGATGATCATTACCGAAGCATTGACCTTTTATTACAAAGGACCTTTCCCATTTATTTCTTCCAGTAGCAAACAATGGTCAATTTACATTCTGCTTTTTGTTCACGAATTTTGACTTAGAAATTTACTATCAATCTTACGTTTTGTTTGTACAGACATCGTTCTTATATGTATATATAACTTCCATTGTTCATTCTGTAACATGATGCTTTTGTAACGAACAATGCTGATAATGATTTTAGATTTTTCTTAAAAAGATTTATTTATATGTACATTTAATTGAAGGTTATCCTCACACACTAATTTTATCATGTATAAATTTCAAATCTTTTCATACATATTTTCTAGAAAAGCGTCATTATTTTCTTACAAATATCATGGAGATCCTTAGTCTAACATTACAGATAATTAATATATTTCAGTTAAAAAGTTGTATAAAAAATTCAAATGATTTTCAAAATAAATATTTTTCTATGTCAGATGCACATTTTTATTTAAGTAACGTTAATACTCTCTTTACCGCTACGATTCTTTTTCATAGAAGAAGACCCCTTGTGGTGAATTTATCAAGATCTGGAAAAGCTTTCCTAAAGTCATCAATCTCGCAACAGTATGACAGTCCCCTGTCGCTCCTTGTTCTATCCCAAGTCATATAATCAATTTGAGAAGAAACATCAGTACAGACACTATACTCGCTGGTCATGGATTCAAGAAAAGGATTATTCGCAATAAGAAAGACAGTACCAGTCTGTGATATGGAATCATAAGCAACTTTGAATAGAATTTTCGGTACAGGAACACCATGGTTGTTATTATCATCTATATACAACCAAATTTCTTTTTCAGCCCCACTAATATCAGGTAGTGTAAGAACGTCTATGCTACCAGACCAAATATCTAAGTCTACGTCATTGTCTGTAGCATAATTCCTTACATTAGCTTCTAAGGTGGCCCAGTTTCCAGCATTAATATTTTGCCACATAGGCACACTGTTAATGTAGAAGAAAGTTGAACGCTGTTGGATGCCATAAATCATATCAGTTTTAGCAACCAAATGTCCTCTGGCTAGGTAATAATTTCCTGAGTTAGGTATGTACTTCAAAGCAAGATCAGCACTGTCCACAATGGTAGCAAGGGTGGCTCTCTGATTTACCCTCGTATAAATTCTGGCCATAGAAATTTGAGGATAGAAGTTACCTTTCTTGAAGGAAGGACGTGGGAAGGAAGTTTGAGCAGCATCTACCACCGCTAGAATTTTTGACTTCGCTACTATCGTATGTGCCAAAGTCTCGTTATGGCAGATCTCAATTGTTCGATGAAAAATATTGTCATCAGTAAGGAAACCAATTTCGCACAACTCGCCAGACGGACAGGTCTTGCTGGTTTTTCTTGCTGTTTCCGTCGGGTAGCTGGTGCACGCTATGTTCTCGAAGACCTCTTCGTACTTGGCTTCATTGAAGTATACCGTTGTGTCATGTAGACAGGTCACTGTTGTATCTGAATAATTCACTAGTTCTTCTATATCGAAATTACTGTTGAGGCATATCAGACGAAGAGAATCTCCAGATTCTAGGATTATACTTTTGGTACCAGTTTTGTTGGGGTAGGCCCACGTTGAGTCAATTCCTGGCCACATGATCAGTGGTTGTGGTTCAGCCAATCCTCCGTTTATTAAAATGGAGCAGCTCTCTATGTAAAAATGTGTATGTTCAATAAAATGCAGTTCAGCTCATCGAGATGAATAATCTTTGAGAAGCGGATGTAACGAATGAAATGGTAATAATTTAATGTGGCAATTTTTTTAGAAATATGATGACGTATACAGGGTGTTTTTTTTAAACTTGAGCCATCGAAATATCTCAAGAAATACGCATCCTACGAAAAAAAGTCCGTAATAAAAACTTTTTAGTTTCGAGGGGGAAAAGCGATTTTGCAAAAATGTACCCCAAAACTCCACCCCCTGAGGACAGGAGGGGGGTAACTTTGAAATTTCAAATAGGAACCCCTGTTTTTTATCACAGATTCAGATCCGCCTTTAAAAATTACGTAAGTTTTGTATGAAAATTTTTTTCCAATTCGAGACGAGTCGTCTTTCACAAACCATGGTACGGTAAATCGACACAACACGCATTATTGGAGTGTAGAAAACCCACATTGGTTGCGTGAAGTTGAGCATCAGCGTCCATGGTCTGTGAATGTTTGGTGTGGGATAATTGGAGATGAACTTATCGGTCCGTATTTTATTGATGGTAATTTGAACGGCGGAAAATACCGTAGCTTTTTAGAAAATGAACTTCCAATATTGCTTGAAGACCTAAGCTTGGAGGTGCGACACGACATGTGGTTTTAACGTGACGGTTGCCCAGCACGTTGTTCGGGAATCGCGCGGGAAGTATTGAATCGCGAATTTCATGGTCGATGGATAGGTAGAGGAGGTCCGATAAATTAGCCTGCCAGATCGCTAGATCTTACGTCGCCGGATTTCTGTTTGTGGGGTTATCTAAAGAGTCAAGTTTATGAAGAAGTGCCAACAACTCGTGATAACATGATCGAGTGAATCAGGTCTGCTTGTGAAAAAATAACACCAGACACACTTCGCAGTTGTGTTGAATCTTTCGAAGCTCGAATTAACAAGTGCATCGAAGTGGGAGGACACCATTTTGAGTACTTATTCTAAAAGGTTAGTTGACAACAATCACCCCGACGGTGAGAGGCAAGGGGACTTACCGAAATCAAGCACCCCGAAGGGAATAGGCCACTACTACGTCCACGTCGTTATTCCTGGATAGAGCTAAAAGTAGTGCCAACATTTAAATTGATTACAATTGAACGGTCCTCCTGAATACATTTAACGCGTCTCCATTTACCTTTCGTTTGGAAGCGTTATCCTTGAAATAATCAACAATTTCATTTTTCGCCATTGCAGCGCCATCTATCGCGATTTGAAAAAAAAATTTCATACAAAACTTACGTATTTTTTTAAGGCGAAGCTGAAACTGTGATAATAAATAGGGGTTCCTATTTGAAATTTCAAAGTTACTCCCCCTCCTGCCCTCAGGGGGTGGGGTTTTGGGGTACGTTTTTGCAAAATCGCTTTTCTCCCTCGAAACTAAAAAGTTTTTATTATGGACATTTTTTCGTAGGATGCCTATTTCTTGAGATATTTCGATGTCACAAGTTAAAAAAACACCCTGTATATGCACTGTATGGTATGTACGAGCACTGCTTTCACTCACCACAAGAAATCTTCGTGGTCCATATTCCTAATAGGAATAAGAATAATTTATGAAAGCTGCACTGATATTTCATCGTATTGATGCACTATAGGAAACTGTTAAGCAGTGGTAAGCGTTTTGCGAATTTATTTAACTCTTATCATACCGCACATTTGGTGCTGCGGCTATGTGAGTTTGTGTCGTAGTGTGGGATAGATACGATAATACCTTGCTTCTTATTAGTTAAGGTTTTTTTTAGCATTAATTGATATCGTATCACCTGTACTTTCATCTATATATGTACTTGATACTTTGATTGAGTGTATAGACTTTAATCATACATTGAAGATATAACAGATTTTTCTTTCTTGTTCTTGGAGAGTTCCGATAATTATAAGAATTACTTACAACCAAGTTATATCAAACACTCCAAAGAGATTAATTTGTCATTCAGTGATGTAAAGTTTATATAACATTATTATTGTTACGATTCATTCTGTCGATTCTAATCGTAACGTAACGACGACTACCTAGTATAAGTCTGTATAGGAAAATGGTAAATACAATCTTGTATTATTGTAATTCTTTGTTAATTATTTGTAGTTGAAAATTTTGATCAAACTATCAAAATTGAGCGGCCGGATTCCATAGCAGGCTCAACGCTCGGACTCAGTCCCCTCCATAGCGCCAGACGTACTGAACGCGGAAATTTTACTGTAAAATTTCAAAGTTGAAATTTTTTTACACAAAAAATACTAGCGTGTCCAGTTTGACTGGGTGCACATTTATTGTATTGGAATATATGTACAGGGTGTGTCTTAAGCCTCGGACAAGAGACATACCGTTAGATCCGGCGTGAAAAAATACAAATATTGGCGTTCAGTTGTTTCTATACACATGTTGTAACAGTTGTTTCTATACACATGTCAAAAAACGCGACACACCTGTGTTTTATCCTGGATAACTATACAATGTATAACATATTACGGTTATCCTTTATCACTTTTTTCTCCGTTTTAATAATTATTCGATATTTTTTTATAATTGTGATAATTCATCAGTCAAGAATTTATTCTAATAGTTTATCTTGATTTTTTTAACGCCTTTTATGAACTATATTTCACAAACTCATTCTTCAATGCAAGGAAGAAACTGTAATATTCTAACGTTCTTTGATTAACCGTGGCTCTAATGCACTGTATTACCAGTAATCCTTTGTTACAGGAAACAAAAATGTAAGAAAATTTATTGAAAATTGATAAATTTTTACGTTTGAGATGAAAACAAGCTAGAGCATCTTTCGTCTTTGTCACTCCGCTGAAAAGTCGGTGAGCGTCCATCTCTTTCGCACCCTCACCAGACGCTCGAGCGCGATTGTGAACAATCAATCGTAGAAGCTTCAATTTTCAACTTTCTCAGCTGAAACTTTTCAAAAAGTTTTCCGAGGCCTTGACACGCATGAATATATGTGCAATTTCATGTTTCGAAAAACTTCGTCGCTTTGGTTTTTCGATCGAAGTTTTGAAATTTAATTGCCAGCGAAGCGAGATGGGAAGTAAATAATTGTAAATAAAAAAAAAAGCTTCTCCGTTCAAGTAATGACCCTGTCGTCATCACTAGAGTATCTTCTGCTTGGAGAAAAAAGAATCGAAACGATCGATCAATTATTAACGAAGTGGTCGCGAGTTGAATAGAAAAAAAATATTGATTTTTTTAATTGCCGAAAAATAGTATACTACGACCTTAGGCCAGAATGTTGGATTTCCATACGCCAGGGCATTCAACTTTTTGGCCATGGGTCATATACTATTTTTCTTGATCCCCTGCCGAAAGTTCGTTAATAAACTATTGTTAGTTTATAAATTGAAAGCAATATGTATTTACTATTCGTACCCGGATCGAAAAAATGAATTTAAATTAGCTTACATAAATTGTTTTAAAAGTCAGGTAACTTCATGTAAGTTAATTTTTTCGATTCGGTATACTTTTACGGATTATGTTAGAACATTTTCCCGGTTGTCTCGCGAAGTGGAGCGCACTCCGAGGCGAAGCCGTGGTTCTTGCTGGGCGGGGGAGTGCGAGGGCAGTGGCCCGCCCAACTTTTGCAAAACCGAGGCGAAGCCGAGGTTCTTGCTGGTCGGGGCGGGCATTAAAACACAGACAAAATAAAATGCAAGAATAAAATGACTAAAAAAAAGATTATAATTAAAGATAATATTATTATTATTGTTATTAATATAGTAATACATTTTATTTGGCTATTTTTCCTTTTTTTTTGCGCGTTATTTTTTTTCTTTACTGCAATTGCAGGTAGTGACGGTAAATACACAGTTGTTGAATGTACAGTTTTCAAATTATACAGGCTTCGCCTCGGCCTTTATATCACATACGCCAGGGCATTCAACTTTTTGGCCATGGGTCGTATACTATTTTTCTTGCTCCCTAAGCCAAAGTTCGTTAATAAACTATTGTTAGTTTATAAATTGAAAGCAATATGTATTTACTATTCGTACCCGGATCGAAAAAATGAATTTAAATTAGCTTACATAAATTGTTTTAAAAGTCAGGTAACTTCATGTAAGTTAATTTTTTCGATTCGGTATACTTTTACGGATTATGTTAGAACATTTTCCCGGTTGTCTCGCGAAGTGGAGCGCACTCCGAGGCGAAGCCGTGGTTCTTGCTGGGCGGGGGAGTGCGAGGGCAGTGGCCCGCCCAACTTTTGCAAAACCGAGGCGAAGCCGAGGTTCTTGCTGGTCGGGGCGGGCATTAAAACACAGACAAAATAAAATGCAAGAATAAAATGACTAAAAAAAAGATTATAATTAAAGATAATATTATTATTATTGTTATTAATATAGTAATACATTTTATTTGGCTATTTTTCCTTTTTTTTTGCGCGTTATTTTTTTTCTTTACTGCAATTGCAGGTAGTGACGGTAAATACACAGTTGTTGAATGTACAGTTTTCAAATTATACAGGCTTCGCCTCGGCCTTTATATCACATACGCCAGGGCATTCAACTTTTTGGCCATGGGTCGTATACTATTTTTCTTGCTCCCTAAGCCAAAAGTACCGTCTTCCCGTTTTTCATTATTCAACTAACATTACAAATTTACGGCTATGAAGAGTTGAGTAAAAACAGAGGCGCTTAGAGTTTATGATTGAACATTCACTTGTTTACATTTGTTTATATGTAGGCAAGCAGGCCACAAAAGTAGCTCTTCCCGGACTCAAATGCGGCCGGGAAGACGGTACTTTCGGCTTAGGGAGCAAGAAAACAAGTAGAGTTTCGAAATCCAACTTTCTGGCCTAGGGTCGTAATATACTATTTCAATTTTTTTTAAAGAAAACTAACAATCCTAGCTGTATAGATCGCCAGATTCACGCAGTCGAATCTGCTGCATATTCCAATAAAAAAAAAATGCGCACTCAATTCAGCTGGACACGCTAGTATTTTTTGTATAAGGAAATTTCAACTTTGGAATTATACAGTAAAATTTCCGCGTTCGGTAAGTATGGCGCTATAGAGGGGACTGAATCCGAGCGTTGAGCCTGTTATGGAATCCGGCCGCTTAATCGCTTTAATATTTTTTTTTTGTAATAATTAATATCTTTTAATCCATACCACATTTTTTTGTGAATAACACAATTATTAATTATTTTTTACATGAAATATACTATAGAATGAAATTTATCTAAAGACTTTTTTTGCTAGGCAGTATCGCTCGATTTTATAATAGTTTTATTAAAATGTTTGAATGAGTAGTTCATGCTGTATAGCCTAATAACTTATGTTCTTATCAACACAGATTTACAGCGTCAGATAAAAATATATTGGAAGCATATATCTGTAAAATTATAATTTAACATAATAATTGTAAATTATTCTCCTGATAAGCAGATGTAGGTGATAAGCTACAGTTCTCGTGAAGGAAACATTGAAAATCCAGCTATTTAATTCTGTCAAGATTATATTGATTGATTCCTGTTATTTCAAGGACATGCTTCAAGTAATGTAATTCCTATTTTAATCCCAAATTCCCGAGTTCTATATAATGAAACTAACTGCTGAATAACAAATGCAAATTAGGTGGTATATTAAAGAAGTGAATTTACTCTAGTTGACTACTAACTGCTACAAGCACTACGCTCAGTAACTAAGAAACATATTCCATTCAACCCAATGACACAATCGGCTGGTTAATGATTCGGATAAACGAATAGATATAGTATATTGATATGGATAAATAACAGTGACCATTCTTTGATATGAATTCAAGTATCCCGATACGAATCCTCATCAACAAATGACTTAATCACTGATTATGATTTTTTGAAATAAAATATTACGTCAAGAACCGTGTCAAAGATTTCAAGTTGATTTTCTGTTTGAGTAACTTTAGATAAGTTGGATACGTTGAAATAAAGTGGATATACATAGTGTAACATTGTCATTTCTCTTTAGCAAAATTGATAACATTTATAACGATGACAAATGACCTCCTATCTTGTTCCAAAGAGACAAGAATAAAAGTGTCGTGTACCAATCAGTCGATAATATACGTGCCTCACGAAATAAAAGGTTCTTTGATCTTTATCTTTGATCTTTCAGACGTCGAATTTTCCAAGATTCTCTAAAATACACACTTGGACTGTCGAGAATGCTTAATTCCCACGGAAAAAGATATTTTTCCGATTACACGTAAATGAACAGATTTTGATTAAAGTTAGAAACCGACTGGTTCGGTTTTTAATTATTTTTGTTTAATTAAAGTCATCGTTGCCTTAATTAAATTTAGATTTCACTTTTAATAAGTTTGATACTACTTTTTATTATTATCCACCATTATTATTTAAATCTAAAACGCAGTAATAGGTAATGTAAGCCATCGTCACGATCTGCGAACGTGACGTGTGTTTCATTTCAGGAGATCAAGTCTGGAGATTGATGTCCTGCTACCTCGTGGCAATTACTACTGGCAATATTTGTTCCTCTTGCGGGAACCTTCCTGCATCCCAATCAAGTTCACGGGAGCATCGTAGGAGTATGGTAAAGAGGACTTCTTCCCTCGTCTCTTCCGAAGATCATCCCACTCCTCTCCTACTCGTAATTCACTACCGCGCGGTGTCTCTGCCATGACTAATTTATTTCGTTCACCTTGTATGTATCACGTTTCCTCTCCCTCGAGAATCCTCTAGGACGCCCTGTTGCTGTTATCAGGTAACGCGAATATCAGGAAACGTACAACAACCTGTGGATCCTTCACCGTGCGTTTGTCAAAGTCGACGTATCTGCTAATGACTTTCCAGAATTTTGACAAGATCCCATGTGCTTGTGATCATACACGAAACTTTTGAGGTTAGGATACTCAGTGTCGAAGAAAAATATTTAAATCCCAGTCATCGATTTTAGTAGAAATATTCTCAATAAGCTGAGCAAGTGAGAACAGTCATAATTTTAATTTTTAATTATCGACAGCTGGACAAATTAATTCAATTAATTTTCAGTCTCAAGCCTTTTTGTTTGTCTAAATAAATTATTTGTAACTCGTGCCTCATGTGGATACTGTGAGACTGGATCGTTATCTGTATTTGGACCAAGATGGATGATAGTACCTGCCTTATGAACATGAACCAAGAACTTAGAAGACTGGGAAGGTAAATTTACATAATCAACGAGAAGTTCTGTTTGGATTAATACTAATCGTCCCTTATATGCAGCACATATCTAGTATGCATAGGACGTTGTCGAGAGCACATGAATGTTGAATATCATAAATGTATACGTCCTCAGAATATTTATAACTTGATCTTGTATCCATAGATCAAAAAGTAGTTTCTGTTGTAAGACTCGATCGCAAGATCAGCTTGAATTAATAAGCATTCTCGATAAAGTAAGGAATGAAAATTTCAGAATGAAACAATCCACACAACACAGAATATCCGAATGACATCCGAATTATGTCTGCAATGTCCTATAGATGCCCAGTTGAAAATGCTATGCATAATACATCCAGCGGACGTCTTATTCATGTGTCATATGACATCGGTAAAATTTTTACTTGTCTGCATTTATTTTGTCCATTATAATGATGGATGCAAGGCCATAGATATGCTCGAAGCATTTCCAATTTTAAAACGGTTAACCCGTTCTATTTAAATCAACGAATAAGTCTTTTGATATTGGTTGTTTCTACCAAGATGGACCATTTACCATGGACTGGACATTTAGCCATTTATATACCCTTATTACGTGCACAGGATTTAGATATTAATAACCGATCGCGTTTCGTGCATTCTTATTCTTAAACCTCATACGCAATTGATTATATCTTTCAGAATCCTATACGTGTAAACATAGTCATAAATTTTGTTCGCTTTATTTACATTTTTCACATTTGAAAAAAGTGCAGGAATTCATTTTTTGAGTTTTTAAGCCAACCAATGAATACTTGTATTTTTTATAAACTGTTGAAAGTATAGGTAAGCCGAATTAACCTATCATTCTGTGCAGACACATATTTAACAGGACTAGCACGTGAGACATAAGGACGCAACGGAATTGATCTAGAGCAATGGGAGGGCCATATCTTTTAAATGTTATATGACTTACTGCACTCAACTTATCAAATATAAAAATATTCTATTCAAGTTAATAAGTTGTTAGAAAAATGATGAAAATATATCCTATGTAGGTGGGGCAAACATACGTTCGAATGACGTCTGTAAGATGTCGTTTGCGAATTTATGTGTTGTCCATTGGATTTCTATTTTTCGTATTACGTACATAAATGCGTGTTATTACATCGACTGGAGGTCGTGTACTTTTTTCCAGTATTTGTCAAGTAGTGAACGCACTTTCTGTATGTAAAATTATTGATATGATTATATAATATAAAGACTTATTTATATATTATCATTTCTTCTCCAATAAGTAATAAATCAAGCAATTGACTCTATTTTACCTGTAACGTTAGTCCCGTCGTCGGTAAAACAGTGCCGTTGAACTGACTGCTTTTAATCATTTTTGCATTTCCACGATAATAAAGCGTCTCACCGACCACGTACAACAAAGCAGCTTCGACCGCAGAGTTTTAATATAGTGCAGTAAAATAGAGAAACGAGGAGTTGTTGGAGCCATTTGGGATGCCTGGTATTTAACAAACGTTTAAAGGTACATAAAGATAATCATGATAACGCAATATGAGACCAGGAGAGGTTAGGTCACCTTCCACTAAGTACGAAGTTCTCTCTTGATCATTTAAAAACTGTCATTAAACCATTATTAATTCAAAGAAGTGTGTAATTATTTAAATTTTCATTGCTATTTTATGTGAAATGAAATTTATTAACTATTTATATTGTCATCTTCCAAAATATTGTTCATTAACAAATAATACAGTCCATTACTATGACAAAACCCCTTTCTTGTTACGATGTTTTTTATGTTTAATAAATCATTACTTTTCATAATTGTTTATTTATAATTTTGATTTCGAATTTCCTCATTGATTGGTTATTCGTTATTGACCGTAGAGCTTCACAAGGAGTGAATTGCAACTGAAATTAAAATAAATCCTACTGAATTATTTAATCTGAATTGCTAATATCACCATCATATCAGACACGACAAGTAGTTATATCCGTACAACAGGAAATACTTGACAATGGTCGATCAGTAATTTATTAATTAAAAACGATAACGTAATGGGAGTAAGGTTAAATAATGTAATCATAGTATAACACTGTGGTTTCGTATAATTCATATAATTATACAAAATTAAAGTCCTTTGCGTGCGTCAATATCAAGCGAGAATATATGATTAACCTCGTAAAAGGCAATGATCGAAGTATATATGTATATAATATACAGGTGTCATAGGTTGAAGGAATAAATGACATTCAGCAAGGAATTGCGAGACAAAGATGATATTTTCCAAGAGAAACTTTATGTACATATAATTTGTAATAAATATATAATCATTTTGTAATGTGGTATACATACATCTGGTCAAATACATCAGCCATAGTTATCATAATAAGATCACTATTTTTTTTCGTTAGAGATTTCAAAAACAGTTTAGTATACTTGATGAAGAGGTATTGGGAAAAATTGGAAATTATTTAAATTGTTTAACAGTGCTATACAATCATTGTTACATTATATTCTTGTAATCCAAGCGTTTGGCACATATTGTTTCTATCTTCGTATAATCGCATGAAATAATTATAAAGACAATTGCGGAAATTAATTTATATATATCTCTTGCGTTAACGTTACGTATATAAAAAAAAAGAATTAATGAAATTTAGCAAAGATAAAAAGGAAGCTTCCATCGAGACGGAAAATGAAAAGAAATTGGTGTACAAATGAGAGACGATAAAGTTTCGTCGAGCTTGCATGATAGTTCACCCGTCGACGTTCTCTAATCGTAATAAACTCAGCCGGCTTTTCCCATGCTACTTCAGTCTTCCGGTAAAAAGTTATTCCGTTCGATGACATCTCAAGCGTACAACGTGCGCACGTTTAATAACAATCCCTCTCCTCAATACGGAACTTGATCGGAGTTGAGACACCGAAAACAGAAGCGCTATACTTTTCCCAAGTGTACTTAAGGATATAAGTTTAGCAGCTATTAATTTAATTCAACAGCTACACACAGTAGTTAACGTTTAAGTTGGAATTTTTCATTTTATTTACGTCAAGTGTAGCTTTAATACATATATATAATACTGCAATACTTGTATATACTTATGTAAAATAGGTAACGTTAGGTAAGGTTCGGTGGGCGCGAAAAAGGAAGGAATTAAAATTATTTTTTTTCTTCACGTTACTTTGTCACAATCCTCGCTCGTCATTCCTTACACCGCGTATGACCTTGCAAGTAGAAATAATATTTCTGGCCTTAATAATGACGATATTCAAAATTGATCCACTTTGCTGAATTTTCTTTGTACCACTGTTGAAAATAATTTTTTCCAAAATTGAGCGAATATAATGAAATATTTATGAAACCCTAAACAATATTTCATATTCTTTCAGAATATTATAATCTAATCAGACTTTCATTGACATGAAAATATCCAACCTCCATCATGTCGAGAAATTAAGCATTTTATTATTTGACACATAGTATATTTGAACTTGAAAAAAATTCTTCTAAAGAAAACAAAACTGTCTAAACATTCAAGCGAAAACGTAAAGTTGCGCAAACTGTCTAGCTTACGTCTAATAAAAATCCCTAGAGATAACTGTTATAGGCTCATACGCAGTGATTTGGTTAAATGGAAAGAGAAATATTATTCTTGTATCCGAAACGATGAGAGGAATCGTTTTTATAATATGTGTTTTGTATTTTCATTTGTCTGTGTCTTATCATTATCTATTCTATTCTTTCTTTTCTTTTAGTTTTCTTGAGGTTCGTCTCTTGCTCTCGTCACACCTATAGCTTCTAGGGAATTCTTAGCGTCGCCTTCCGAAACGCAGGAATATGTGGTCGACATCTTGACGTTTGACACCGCTATCCGGTAGTGGGATGTTCTCGTGAAGAACTGGAACTGAATTTCACGTACGAGGAAATTTACCTTTATCTATTTACTCGTCCTCCGTTTACTCAGATATCAACATCCTCAAGAAGAGTAATACATATAAAGATACGAAGAGTTACGTTTCTACTTCCTTTCCTTCCACATCTTTTACCATTAAAGTGTTTCTTCGTTGTTCGTGACGCCCATTGCATTACGTAAATATCTAGGAGAATCTTAATTTACTTCAAGTACAAACAGTGTAAAGTGCGTCCGTGGGAAAGTCAATATCAGGTAAGTGCAATTGAATTGATTGTAATGTATTGTATCAGCACCAGGTAGAATCTAATGAATAGAGCGTAATGTTGGCGTGGTACCGTGCAAGTAATTTGTTTCTTGTGAGACTCATTGTGAGAGAATATTTACCTTTGTCGTCGATATAGCTTTCCATAGCAGTACCGAGCTCATATATGGTAGACAGGGCTGCGCAGACCTTGCGAATCCTTGGCGGTACGTCATCCAAAAGTCCTGGATTGCACTGAACCGGTAACATGGCGAGTGCTTGTCCGGAGAGAACTGCCAAAGTTGTCAGAGAGACGATCACGAGCATCGCAGTATTGCACTTCATTTCTAAGAAAAAAAACAGAAAGAAAACGGATCAAGCTTTTAAATTCCATGAACGTGTATACGTGCCTGAATATTTCTTAAAAGACGTGACATCCTTGGGCGGGAATGTCAACGTGGACGTTAGCTTAGCTTCTTCAGTTTTTCATGGCGTTTAATTTATGAAGAGTATCGGAAGACGGTAAGAACGTAATATTACTGAAATATATAATATCGTAAGTCACTCTTTGTAATGGGACTCAAATTACCGTCGTTAAAGTATAAAAAGAGCAGCTTCGTAGCTGCTTCATTAAAATGCCTAGCACTTATTTCTACGTGACCAAAGGACAGATAGAACCTAAGCGATTTACTGCGTGCAATATCCAGCTGACGTGAAATGAAACAACCTGACCACCAGAAATTTAGGATTCTTCTTATTACCAGCCTTTCCTTGTTATTGCGCTCTATGCTGTTTTCCTTTATACTTCTTGCTTTTCTTCTTCTTCTTCTTCTTATGTTAGTTTTCATTTAGGGGATTTGTTAGGTATAATTTTGTTCTGTTCATGTTTTTTCGAAAAGAGAAAATTCTTTTGACATTTTTTAATAACAAGATAACAAGATGATTATTCGTCAAATCAATTATGATTATAAAATGTATGGAAACGTAAAAATGAGTGTACTTTATGATAATCATTAATTACGACTTTCTCTTAGGCTTGTTTGTGCAAAATTACACGACTGGATAAATATTTATTAACCATTTCTTTGAGATGCTGTAACTTGTGGAATTTTGAACGAGCAACATCAGACAAGTTTGAAAGCCCTGAGGTTATAGGACTCTTGAAAAGATCACAAGTCTATTTCGAGAGAGATGCATCTTCTTGTGTATTATGGGAAATGGGAATTTTTCAACTTTAAATGTAATTTTAAATAGTCATTTATCAGCAGCTTCAACATCCGACACTTCTGAAATCTTCAAGATGAGTGGGTATGGATGAAAAACACTTGTTGCTCCAATTCAGTGGAACTGGAGGTACTTTAGACGTCGATGAAATAAAGACGGATTTTAATGGGAATTAATTACCATGTTATTATTATCTAAAAATCAATGAAACATTAATGACTCTTTATGCCTTAAAGTCCACAGACAAACTATGGGGAACGTCGATGGATCTTCTAGCTTCAGAGCATAATTAAAATACTTTCCAACCCCTTTTTTCTTCTAGTTGCTTTTTACTTAATTTTACTCTCTTCGTTCGATTCTGTTGAGTCTCAATTGAAACTTTTTTAAATCACGTATATTTTTGTCACTCTGCTCACTACGTTATAGAAATACATTATCTACGTAAAGTTTAGTATTTACTCCAAAGCAATCTCTATTCTTGGGAATTAACCATTGAAGTGGTTTCTTCACTCTCCTCGATCGTATGGTTTACACTAATTGGAATGCACACGTAAGTTCGATGAACAATCAACAAGATACAATTCAAAATGAATTTCGAAGCGAAGTTAACGTTCAGCTTTACAATAGTGGAAATAACAGTAAGGTGGAGCTGCGTAAATTAGATTGTCTATCCTCATATCCTGATCAGATCCAAAGTTAGAAAATCTCGTAACGAATGCTGTGATTATTGAAGGGCGCGACAATGGATGTCCTGGTGAAGCAAGAACAACGCGAAGGGAGTAAATAGAAAGCTGTATGAAATTTCGATATGGTTGCTGGAGTCACATTAGATATTAACATTAGATTCCGAACGATAGGAAGGAAGTTGCGTAAGTGTATATTTGAACCTAAAATCATCTAGTATGGAACATGTAGAAATAATTGTTAAGAAAACAAGAGAGTAACGATTTTAAAACTATTTTTTATACTCTTGAAATTATATTTATATTCTGACATTGCAGATACATAAAAGTTCACATGATATTCTTTTCAAAGAAATTTTTGTTCGTATATAGTCTCCGATGTCATCTAGGAATTCAATAGTCTGAATATTGTGAATATCTCGGATACTGCTTATTTTCTTTTGAAAAATTGTTACCAGAATTCTTTGACATATTTCTCGATATTGTTATCGCGAAAAGTATCGGAACTTGTTCGACACATACAATTTTAGATTATATCGACACAATAAATCTTTTGTAATCAGTAACGCTCATGTTCTTTTGTTGTAAACGACTATGCGGTGTGACTCGCCTATATTTCCACAAGTGCAAAAAACTGCATCGTCAATGTTATAAATACTCAATTTGGATGCACTTGGTGCTCTGGAAATATGGAGCATCTTTTATCGTATTGCAATATACCGCATCAGAAATTTGCGACGAATGAGTAATATTATTTTCCGATAAGTCGATTTTGAAAAAATTTTCGATATTTCCTCAATGAGTTTCATCAATTCTATTAAACTATTTAGAATTGCATTGCTATTTATATAGCATATACCGTTTAGGTCTGTGAATTCTTCTGCGAATGTCAATCTACAAGTTAACTAAATTTTGATTTGGGAATCATTTCAAAAGTTTTATATTTCTTTATCAATGATTTGACTGAGAAATAAAAATTTCTGAATATATCCAGAGAAATGAACTTTTACATTACCCTTACTGCTTGTTTTATACTTTATCGAATTCAACAGTTTTAGACATTACGTAAGCATTACTCGAATGCCTAAAGCAACGCGGTCAGGTGAGTTTCAATAAATTTGATAACGATCGATCGCATGTTCTCGAACAGATCAGTGGCGTTTAATGAAGCGAAAATGAATCTACTTTTGGCATATTATATCTGTATATATATAATAGCACCTGGATTTGTGTTTCTTTTTTACTTCAACATATCGAATTCCTGTTACTCGATCGATTAATAATCAGTGGAAGGATTTATCGTAGTTTAAAAAAATGATCGAGTAAACAGTATCAAATGTCAATCTGATAGATGAATGTAATTTCATTTAATTTTAGTAGTCTTACAAGGCTGCCTCGTTCGACCTTTTCCCTAATTTGTAATGCAAGCACTCTCCTTATCAAATTGCCCTGGTATTGAACAGAGTGTTTAAATAAAAGCTCTGGATAAAAGGAAATGAATGGTAAGGATTTTATATTTTGGAAGTTTTTCTTGACCAGTCCCGCGAGCAGCCTTTCAGACCAAGATTCAAAAAATTATCTCCACAGTAATGCGAAGCTCTTATTTCTCAAAATTGTACACTTCTATAGTCGATATATAAAGAAAATGTGAGGTACAGAGGACTACTTTGCATTAAAAGTCATAAGAAGAAGACCCCTCAAAAATACATCTTGCTTATGGACAGATTATATAGTCCAGTGAACAGTCTTATAGCAAGATTGTCCTACGGAAATTCATATTTTATGTAGATAAAAGTTAAAATCTCTGCTATTCGAGATTATATTTACTTACGAAAATATTTCATGTATTACAGTTCAATTCATAATTTCTTTATGCTGGAGTAATATAAAATGATACGGTCCATAAGAATCTCTTGGACATATACCGAGATATCTTTTTTATATTCATAGCAGAGGCTATAATAGTCTTAGAATTAAACCGGAAGTATTTCTTGCTATCTTAGATAAAATAAGTATTTCCTACGTTTAGTATTGACTACGTGAGTCACTACAGCTTCTATTCATAAGCTACGAAGAAAGCCGAAGAGCTCTTAATCCATCGATAAGAGTTCGCATGGTTCAATATAAAGTCTATAAATATATCATAAATCTCAGTAGCATTGATAGTGATACTACAAGAAATACAAATTCGAAGAGGCAGATCAGATAAGGTACTTTCGATTTATTTATCATTATATATTTATTATATCATGCAGCATACGTATCTAGAACTACCACGAATTGCACTCTGAGTGAGTCAGAGCCACTAAAAGAATTTTACTAGAGGACTTATGAATAAAAATGGAAAAGATATGGAAAGAAAACTGAGAGAATCTTTTTTTTTTAAATATCTCTTACATCAACAGCAACCTTCAAAATGGCTTGAACTGGCTACGTGCTCAGATAAGCAACCTGTTGCTGTCCCACCAACCCTCCGACATTTTAAGAGTACACTAACTTATTCAGTCAACATCAAACCTACGTGACAGTCAATTAATTTTACAAATTTATATCATATACTTTTACGATGATAAGTATCCCGAAGAGGCACCTGAGCAATTTTGGAAACCGTCGCAAACATTAGTATGCATTATTATAATCTTTAATACAGTAATATGTAAATATCTTACAAATCTTCATCTGCTTTTTGTTTTCGCAATTTGTACGGAATTAACACACGTTGCATATAATATAAGGAATTCTTGTATTTCATACATAAATTATTCAACAGGCAAGAAATTAGGGACTTTATTGCCTTAACTTGAAGTTGGTAAAAAGCTAAACATTCTAAAGGTAAAACAACTGTTTCTTTCACCGAATATATTACGCTTTATGTGTTTCGATTGGTATGAATAAAATTGTAGATTTAATTTAGCAACTTTTTTATACATATGTTTGACCATACATATACTGGTACATCTGAATCGTAGATGTACAGTCGTATTTCTGAAAGGGTCAATGATGATTTTGTTAATATTAAAAAATTTTTTTAACTTCTAATCATATACATGATGCAATATAAATATATGAAGTCAATAATGAGCTTTATTCGTTCGTCAATCGCTTCAAATATTTATTCATGATATGATAGCGTAATGGACTTTAATTCCATATACTTGGAATCTTGCCTATCTAGATAAACCCCTAGCTGTCCATATGTTCTCAATAATTGGATTCAATAGGATTGTCTATCTTGCATCCCCGTTTTTCTGAAACGAGTCGTTTCCAGGGAAAATTATATGATTCATTAAATACGAATTTAAACGAGAGTACCATATTGTTTACGTTTACCGGTTGCCTGTGAAACAAACGGGTGAGTAAATATTGTTTGAAGCATATTACGATTTGATACAAATGTTCACAGGTGTTGTAATTTTCCTTTGCATTACTTGCTAAAGAACTTGAAATATGAAAGGGACATGCTTTTTTCCCTTTGATGAATATTAATAACGGCGTATTATCAGAATTTATTCAGATAAGAGCTTAAAGCAGATATTTGACTTTGGAAAAAAATCTAACCTATTATTAATAGCATATACGTTAAATATGCATTATAAATCTGCTTATCAAAATGACACGTGTTTAAAAGCATTTTTAAATTTATACTACGACATGCAATATTTTTCTATAAAAAATATATAACTTCATACTGCAAACTCTTCTCGGTTAATAATAAAATAATTTGCAAGGGAATCGGAAGTCTCGTTAATTTTTATATAAAGTGGCTTATCTCTAACGATGCGTATGCATAACTATGATTTACAACGTATCGAACGTGCTGTGGAAAATTGAAAGTCTCTAATATTATACGTATTCGAAACGACTATGCAGATTCTGATTTTATTAAACGCCGGAGACGAGAGAGATTGCGTGCATCTGTTTCCGGAGGAACTTTGCAAGATTGGATTGAAATTCCGTTGTCGATTGTTTCCGATTTCTAGTATTTTACCGGATTGGACTTTGTTCAAAAACACGAAAAATTCAGACTGCATCTGATATAACTAGAGGAATTCTTTTTATGGAATAATTTTGACATTCTTAGTTTGTACGGGTACGTCGTTTTGAAATGTGTCACATTTACAACGACACGGCACTCAATCATACAGAATTTATTGAATTTATTACTAAGTCAAAATACGTTGAAGTGTATGAGGATTGAAAATTCAAGTTGTTGCCAACAAAACCTTGTACAAGATTTTTTAATTCTGTTGACAAAAAACACTCAGACGCGGGATAGACTTTTTTGATACTCGTACCGCGTAAATAGAAGGGTCGCATCATATGCAGCATTGTCACGATTTTTTGTAAAAAATTTGATTTTTACAAAACATTGTTACGCACAAAGATAATGACTGTCGCGAAACCTGATTATTGTTTTCGCCTTTTACGACTCATTTGTTCTTACAAATTTATCTGGTTGACAATAATATTCGCTTTTTCTCGCCAAAATCTACCGCACACCCTAATACGCCCCTTCTGACGGCACGCATGATTGCATTCAATTTGACCATGTTTAGTCGACCGTGTCGGAGGGAATTTTGACATAATTTTACTGTATATAAAATATTTTGCGAATAAAATGGTTTTTCGTGCATTTTTTAGAATTACGAATGAAAACATTTTAGTGATTATAGACGTGTGCGAACGCATTTTCGTAAAAAATATTGTACTGATCTAATTTTGACTTCTTTTTAACATTACTTATATATACGTTCGTTAAGTGTCTATCTCTGATTATATGTCTCGAGTGAGATATTATCGTTATTTTTGTATTTTTATTTGTGGACTTATACGCTTATTCCCAGGCGTCACTCGAGACTCAAGAATAACAAGTAGGAAGAAAAGACACGGTACTAGTATATGACTAGAAACTTCATAAGAAATGTATACCATATACAGATACACAACATACAATTATCGTACTGTTATAGCACACAAATTTTAATAGTTTTAAGAACACATAACCACCTTTTCTTGACTATCTTCCGGCAGACGTACATTTGAGAGTAAAAGAAAATAATTTAGACAGCTGTATTAAGTTTCTATTATCTCTCTATAACATCTGATTTTTTACGGTAGAGTCAAAGTCTTTTGTTTGCCTAAAAAAATATTTCATTATTCTATGCGTATCCTACCGTGGAAGTAGTGTTTTATTACACTTTTACGTCTTGGTTTTATTACAAAATACAGAATTCCCTAGACACTCCCAAGATCCTTATAGGATGTGAAAACATAATTTGACACCTGCTTCAGGAACAGAAGTTAGTTTTCCAATAAAAGTTTTACTTTTCAGGAAAAAGTGTCGTGCTATCCGCGTTTTCGCTCTCGTTATGCTCATGAACTTTAGTGACATTTACATGAGGAAGGACAACAATGGGGTCTTCAGTGACATGAGAAATGTCCCTAGAGAAATGGATTGATCGAACTTATTTTCTTTTCTGACAATCAAGCATAGAATGACAAAGCCCTACTGTGAAGGGTTCATCAATACAAAGACCATTTACATGTTAAGTATTTCCAGTTTTTCCCGCTAGTAAAATTGCCTGTCGTTTGCGTGACAATTACACCGATTGTGTAGTAAAATTACTTTGCCAACGAGCCGTACGAAACTCAATTTAGGTTCAATTTACAAGGTGAGAGAAAGAAAAAAAACATCATGAACAAGGATGACGTAAGCTCGGGTGTTTCTGCTGATTGTAAAGTATCCTGTTTTTTCACTATCATTTGAGCTTTTCGTAGACTTCAAAGATGTGAATAATTTGACTCTAGACATTTCGAACTATCTTAGTACATTTATGCAAATTTAGTCAACTTATAGTATACAGAGTTCTTCAGTAGAAACGCACCACCTGAAGTTAGCGCCCCCATTTGAGTCTTATGGTAAAACCATGTTCAGGGGGTGCGTTTATGTTACATGACCTCGTATGTACTTTATATACAGTACTATTAGGGAGTAAAGTCTGTTTGATCCCATTGGTCTTCAGCTGATGTATTATTCTCGAATAACCCTAGATATACTATTGGTACCTATATATGAGAGTATTACCTAACTTACCAACTTTATTGTGTAAATCTGAAGTATTTAAACTATGGTAATCAACTGTACGTATCGCGACGTGCGTCAAAAAAACGTTGCGTACTTGTTTAGCATATATAGCATATATATAGCATATTAGCATATATACATATAAAGCGTAAATGGCGTCACTGTTGATATGTCAGAATTGAGGAAGTTCAAATAATTGATGTGTAAAATAGTAAACAAAAATTAATTTCGTTTGAATTGAAGATGAAGCGAGCAGCAGCTGCAAACCGCACTCTGGAGTTTTAATTATGAAAACAAAATTTGAAAAAATACGGTGTGACAATTATTTTTATCGAAAAGATCAAAAGAAATTTACTATTGCAATCTATTTGTAGACTACCGACTTTCACGTCTACATTATGTGCAATTCATAGTACAATTTGTTCTCTAAGTAATGTCGGAGTGGCTTTTATTAAGTCTCCATGGTTTATCTTGGGTCTCTTTAATCTTCAACCGGAAAAATAACCTCGCAAGTCTCAGTACAAAGACGAGAAAAAACCATTAAAATAAAATTCTACACTTTATATTCTCTTTCTAGTGTATATAAAGTCTGTATAAATTTCCGTACTACGAGAGCAAAAAGTTTTGATCGATGTATAAAACAGGAATTAGTGTTCAACTTTATATATAAATATTACCATTATTCAATGTCTAAACAATTTCAAAATAAAAGCTTCGAACTATATCCAATTAAATTATGAACAATCGATTCGAAACGATCAGTTTACATATTTAAAATAAAAAGTGAATTTGTCTCTTTTCTATTTTCACGAATTTTCGGAAACACTTCATTACCTTATTTTTGAATTTCAAATAAATTCTATGTCATATTTCATGTAAAATAAATAGATTTTTAAAAACTATACATTTAATTCTTATATATTTTCAAATCTGCTATTATATCAACCAACATAAAATCTGCCGAAATACATACTGTATCGGAGACTTTATGCAGAGATTCAATCTGCCATGTAAAAATTAAAAAACCGCATATCTATATGTCTCAACGAAGGCAAGAATAGACCAAGTAACTTGCGGATATTGCGTTAAGACGATTTTTCTTAGAATGGAAAGAATTTTCAGAAAGAAAAAGATGCGATGAGAAAACGAAGATAAAAAGATGGGATGAAAGTTAAACAAACTGCTTTGCAGTATTGAAGGGAGCGTCTACTGAATGGTGTAAATTATTCGCAATTATGCTTAATGGCAAATTGACAGCAGCCATGTCAATAACACATGATTAGATATATGCCTAAAGCCGTAATGGTCCGTTATGAGTATCTATTGCGATAGAACGAAGTATGGACTAATGCGAGTAAACGTAATAATCCTCCTTACTAAAGGAACACTGAAAGGACACTGAATAAATTAACCTGAGTTTTCCTTATTTTATTTTCCAAGAAATGACTATTGTATCACTATGCACTTAGGTGAAATTAATATCTTATAATCTATATACTTTATTTAATTAACGATGGACTTGTTGCATCGGTCGTAAACTTTTTGTAAATAGGGTGTGCCTGTGGCTACAGTCTGTTTGGTGGTTCTATTTAACCCGACGAAAAGGGTTGCCCAAGGGTGCGGACGATTTACTCAATTTTTTTAAAACCTCTTTCCTTAAGGTAGAACAATACGAATCGTTAGCTTTATAGACACTTTATCACCCCTTGGAAATTTGTCGTAAGGAAAAGTAATAATTTTTTTAACTACACGGGGGATGACGAATAAATAATATTGAAATGGCTAAAATATTTCATTTCGATTTTATCGATTGACGTGTGTACATAATATCAAATTTTGTTTCATGATATGTGACATATGGGCTAGAGGGGGATCATCGTGTGTATTTGAACTCATCGGGAATTTTTAGCGAAGAATTAATATCGATAAATTTCGCACTTTCGAGATTCGAATTAACAAAATAATTTTGATGACTGTCTAGGATATTCAGGGAAACTTAAATTATATTTAAAAAATCAAGCGACAATCTGTTGTTAATAAAAACAAATGTCTGTGTAAATTTGTAAAATGAAAGTATAAAGAGTTTTTGATGTTAATAAAGGAAATGAAAAGAAATACAATCGCAGTACCCGTTTTGATTTTTCTGCCGATATTAAATCATTCGACTGACCTGTATCGCTTAGTTTTTCAAATCGTTATTCGACCCGATATTGTTCTTCCGGTTTTTCGAACTTCGAGATCCTGGGATGTCAAGTGGTTATAACTTCCGGTTCTAGTGGGGTGTTATCCGTGATCCAGGTCTGCGGATGGCGGTACAGTGATGAGAAAGGCGAACCATCAGCCCTTAAATACGCAACGTGGGGCTGCCATGCGCGTTCCAAGGGGCGCCATAGAAACGTAGAGCTATGCATAGTTGTCCCCTCGCGTCATTCAAATTTTTGTTTCGGAATTTTGATCATATGATAATTCTTCGCCAAATGACTGTTACGTAAGTCATATTACTAGGGTGCTTCGACGACGTGACCATATCGTACCTTCTTATGAACCCGTCAGTACCTCAGATTTAAGGAGTACTGCTTCGTCATCTCTACCCTAACGGGAATGGAGCGCTGCTATTTGAAAATTGATAAGAATTTTTTCAATGCGTACCCCCTCGATTTAATCAATATATCGTTTGTTCACAAATATTTAACTTTGTTGTTGTTCGATAAAAAATTTCACTTTTATTTGTATCGAGTTATTTCATCTTCTCATCATTCAATTCGTCTCTATAGTTACTCTTTTTCCTTTTCTTGAAGAATTTCTTCGACCGATTTCAATTTTATCAACTTTATTGTTCTTAACAATATATCCTGATATAAGATGCATCTTACATTCTAATGAAAAAATAACAATGCATTATTACACATAATCGTGTAACGACCCTAAGATATTAATTGGATTAATGAAAATTCGAAAAATATTTTGAAATGTAGTCAAAAGAAAGAAAAATTAGTGATATATATATATTATATATTTTTTGACTCACGAACTATCTCCATTGTATACTTTCACAAATTTTGCAAAAACGTTGCAGAATCGTTAATTTCTTTTTTCTTACGTTCTTTTAAGGAAACAAATATTGACAGTGAACGAAGCTCAACCTGATTATATCAGAAATTACTTTTGTCGTAGGATGATCGAATCACTTCTGGTGTTTGAGAATCCTTATAAATTCTTTGATCCCATTGTTCAAGGATAATATGCAAAGAAGTTACCAAGTTGAGATGAAGTGGCTTCACGTAAAAGAAAGAAGAAGTTAAGATAAAATAAAGCAACCGTGTCGTCATTGTGTCGTGGAGAATGTTAGATGTATTTTTTTGATCGGATCAAAGAATACCGTACCTTATATGGAGGCGTCTAAAATTTCCACGATATTACTGATATTACGTCAATCTGCTTGAAATGTTTTTCACGCACCTCCAGTTACCTTCTTAAATAAATCAGATTCGTCGTAAATTCGATGTTACTTGAATGGATATAAAGATGGTAAAAGAAAATAATTACACCAGAAAATCTTTTGTTTGGATTGAGAGAGAAATTATATGAAAATTTCCATTGTGCCTGGGGACATCGCAATCAACAATTGTCAGACAATAAAAAAATGAGCATAACGAGGATAACAAAAAAATAGTTGAACGACTTAACCTTCAGGATAGAGAAATATGATATCCGCTAATTGGGTAATCATCATATTTTGGGGATCCCAGCATAGTTATGTAAAAACAGTATCCTGCTATTTTAGCCCATGAAAATGTGTACATATTCATTAAAGTCGAATAAGTAATGTGGATTTTATTTTGCTTGTGATAAAGATTTTTGCTTTGATAGTAACCGTTGCTGGGATAAGTTAAAGATTATCTGAAAAATGTGAAACTCTTTTGGTACAGAGTGACTTTAGACGTAAGTAAATTTTTATAAATTTCTCTAATATCCTCATAATGAAACTCGAATTTCTTTGTGGAGAAGCTTTTAACGAGATTCGTATCTTCCCGAGAGGTTATTATTCTTCGATTTAATTTAACCATAAATAATTTTGAATTATATTTTCCTTGTATTACGTAATCGATTCTTCCTCAAGTTATTCCTAGCATTCTTTTGACGTATAACGTTGAAACTTTGATTACGCATGCTTCGTGATTTCCATTTTATTATAAATACGATTACGTTAGTTCACACGTGAAATTATCCTACATCAAGGTATACCAAAATTATCTTATTTGCTAATCAAGAGTTTAATAAATTTAGAGACAAAATTCATTTGCTACTTTAATTTTACCTTTCTAAGCTCATCCTGCTGCTTTCTTATGGGATTTAGACAAAACGGAAAGTAGTACAGAAATTTGTTTTCGCGACATTGTGATATAGACGCAGACAGTATAATGTAGAGTAAGTGCATTTTTTCTAGAACAATTGAAAATCTGTACACAGTAAAGCTGCGTCGCTTTTTCTTGTCATCACGAATGAAACGTAGCTACGTGCTACGTATCAACCGCGCGAAATTACACGCAAGAGACTGAAGACGTGATTTACATTTTGTGAATCTGAAACGGGCAAATCAAGTGAATCAAGATAAAAATAGAGGATTCGTCAAAGATTTGTATTAATCGATAGTGGCATGTATCACTGAAACGTGTCAGATAAGTAAACAAAGAAATTCGAAATAAAAAAAATAATGATGTGTTATTGTACACTGACGTTTATTAAATTTTCAATATAATAACGTCTCATAAAATATTATTGGAATACAAGTTCTGGATACTGAATAATTTCATTGGAAATATTAATAATCTGGCGTCATACTCACGTTACCTCACGTTGGAATATAACCTCTTGAAATCACGAGCAATGAACTTGACTGCGCAATTAATATCATCTTTCATCGGTGTGAACTTGCGGCTAGGCTAATTAATAACTACCAAGATAATTTATTATATACGTATATATATATATATACATATATAAGATTTATGTCCACTGACTTTTAAATACTTTGGCTTTTAAATATAATCATTATTTAAATGGCAGTTATTTGGTTCCTTTCTATACATACAAATTTATTAAGAGGTTATTTCACTATCTGAAATTGCCTGTACTATAGAAATCAAATAGACGTGTAAACTTTAGTTATTCCTGAGTAACAGTGTATAAAGTTATTAACTGTATATTATTTTTATTGAAAATCTCATTTTTATAATCGCATTATACATTTAATGATTGCATCCATGAAATATCAAATTATTTTTAAGTACGTAATGCACTGCATGATCCAACTTTTGAACAGAGTATTGTGTCAACAAGATATAGGAAGAGTGTAGATAATACGTCTACCTGCCCGAGGATGTTAGATAAACGTGTCAAAAATCAATTAAAGTCAAGCATATCGGTAAACAATTGTAAAATGTGATTTCCTGTTGATGAAGTCACCATATCATTGTTAACGCGTACACGCAAGATTTAATTTTACACATCGAAATCCTGTATACTGGAAATAATTTTAAAAATTATATATCAGCATTATCCGTGATCGTCCAGCGAATGATATTCTGATTTCCCATGAGCATAGGTAAAACAGATATGATAACAAAAAGTGTCGAAAACTCACATTACACCATGTATATCAGATAAACTTGGGTGAGTGTAATTTAAACTTTATAAAAAATAATAATATCTATCGATACCATATAAATGATTGCGCAAACTTTTAATGAAATAGAATACAAAAGATTTTTGCAATGCTAGATTAATACAGGTTTATTCAGGACTATTGTCCTAACTGAAGTTCGCTCCATTTTAGAAATAAAAAGAAAATCAATCGATCATTTCGAAATACTTACACGTTTACGAGAATTGTTAAGTTCGTAAGGATCTGTTCTCCAAAGGACGCTCGACATTAGAAGACATTTGAAAATTTCCAGTCACGTAAAGGTAGCATCGATAAGCGTCGAACAAGTTACCCATTGTAATTGGTTTAACAGTCCGTGTGAAAGTATCTGTATTTGAGTGAAAAATCGTCATTCTACTACATATTGATTTTTTAAAATATATAATGTACTATATGTCACTTATATAAAGATATAAGTTATTTACAGAATAACTCATCGTTAGTGAAACTCTACTGTATAATAGAACACTAATGCTGAAGAAATTTTCTTTTTCTCTATGATTGTCTTGCAGGTACGATAATATAATTATACTTTTATTATGCTGGCTCTTTTTCAATCGTGGTTTATAGGCTGTTGTGATGAATTTATGACAAAAAAACAACCTCGATGAAATACGTATTTACTTTACCATGTAGATGTGACTGCCGTTTAGATGCGTGGACTAGTAATACTGTTGATCGCCTAATTTTCGATGTGATTAAATAATAATTTGATTATTAATTGTTAAAATAAAAAAGTAAATATAAAATAAATTATTTGAGTATATCTCTTTAGTAAAAAATTTACATCGATTCGAATAGTTCTGTATGATATGAAAGCAGCGGAAGTAATCTTGAAAATAATTTCAATCATTACAATTTCTATAGGGAAAAGATCGAGCGACCAATAAATGATCACTGCTATAGATGCTCGTTATTCTATTGCATTTCCACGCATGAAAAATCCATCGAAAACCCACCACGTCTCACGTAGCGAACCTGGCGTATGAATATTTTAATAAATATTTATCACGCTTGAAAGAAATAACATAAAATATATGCTTCAGGAATTCATGAATAAGACAGAAATTTTATATAGGCATTGCAAGCATGATGTAACCTATCAAGCATACAGAATCAAATTAGATCAAGCAAGCAACAAAGTATCGCTGCTATAGATACTCGTTAACCTGTTTCATCGCCACGTATGAAAAATCCGTTGGAAACTTTGATTTATAGCAAACCTGACGCGTGGACATTGAAATAAATATTTATCACGCTTGGAAGAAGTAACATAAAATGTATGCTTCAGGAATTCACAAATAAGGCAGAAATCTTATGTAGGCGTGACAAGCAAGATGTAACTATCATAAAGAATCGTATCGTCTTACAAAGCGACCAGCAGACACCTACTACGTTTGTATTAAAAATAGAAACAAAACCGAAGGTTCTTCTTTTTCCACAAAGCCACAAATAGTTCTAACAAAGAATCGTTGTAGGATCAGATTTTACTGATCCATTCTTATACACTACACCTATAAGGGATTATATTGCATCATCCGTTTCGCATTTCCTGCGCTGTTTACCTTTAGGCTCCACTGGCGTATGAAAAATCTTGTGCAAGTTGTAAGTAGTTTCATACTGCAGCTGGGAGAAAATGAGATGGAGACGTAGACGGGAGAAAACTATGTATACAAGTTTTCATATAATGGCGTCACTAGAGCTTCCTCTGGGCTTTGCCATAATTTCTCACCGGGAAAACTTACAAAACTCACGAGTCTCGCACGGATTAACAAAGCGATATTGTCTCCTCTGTATATTACAGTTTGAAATTAGAAAAAAAAAGTACTGCCTTCACTCTACCTGCGAATATATTACGATTACGTCGCACATAGAATTTACTAGCCACCCAGTAAACAGTACATATATCTACAATGTTGAAAATACCTATCCAACAATGTAACAGTTATGCCTGACGTAAATAACGTAGCTACTCAAATATTTGCTCGAAGAGCTGGAAATTCACGGAATAGGCTTGCGGTCAGTTTGGAACATTTGGGGATTATCCGTGATACAAGTAAATTAAATCTACACGACCCTGCGCGAACCCTCTTGGGCTTCTCAATGAAGCGAGATGAGAAATATTCATAATGAAATTTAAGAACTTATTATATGTCGTATGCCGGTATGCTTTAGGTATCAAGAAAATTTTAAGAATTATACTCCCTACTAGATAGTTCATAAAGCCCTTCAAACTATAGTAAATATATAGAGAATACAAGAAACATATTTGAGGCATTATCGTGAGGGGTGTCTTGTAAAAATGCTATCCCCTAAAATGTTATATGTATGCGTGGGCGTGAGCGTTGGCGCGAACGTATATCTGAATTCAAAATTACGAAGGAACCACTGAACCAATTGAATGGAAAAATCATGTTATAGATGTAGATCAGACAGTAGCTATATATATGTATATATAAGGAGTACTTCCGGTTCGAAAAAATCGTATTTAATTTATTTTTGCGACCACTAGTGCGGAAGCTGTGATTGTATTACAGTCCTACATTGACGTCAATTTGTTTGTTCCAAAATTTAAATTGCTAAATTTCGAACAACATTGCAATTACGAAAGTCGTGAAACGAAATGGTGAAAATATTAGAGCAAAGCGAAGGCTTAGCCAGTTACGTAAGCGACTGTCACAGCAAAAATGTGAAACATTACGCAGTACTCCTAAATTAATAAGACGACTACAGTGGCGGATCCAAAGGGGGGGACCCCCCCCCAAAAGTTAACTCTACACTTGATATTTCTTCAAATAAAATCATCTTCAGATTTTATGTAGAAGTTAATTCCCCC